GGCGTCGCATTGGGTTGGCGTTGCGTTCATGTACAGCCAACTTCCAGGAAAAGGTCTGAAACGATTACGAGTTGCATTTCCAAGGGCGTGGTCGCCAACTTGTGTGGCAGGATCTCAAGAGGAAAAAGGGGAGGAATACCACCCGTGCAGTGCCGAATGGCTTCGCTCTTGGTTTCTATTGATATGGAAGGGATGGAGAGGAACGTATCCATGTTCCCCTGGTCCAAGGGCTCAAGCTCAACCAGTTCATTATGGGCTCTGCATCATCTATGTAACAAGGAACAATGTGTATACTCCGTACATGTGCCGGGCGGATTTCCAGTTCCAAAGCTAGGGTTATATGGAGTTGAATACACGATTGCATCTATCGATCGCCAGCGACAGCAACAGCTAGGTCTTTGTTGTGAAAAGAGGGGCCTGGACTATGCCTTACAAGATAGGATTTAAGAAGTACAGAGGATCCTATTCTCAACTCTGTCTTGTTCTCTCGAGCTGCCAGCTTATTCAGACGTCGCTCGTGTTTGTGTTTATTAAGGTGTAGGTATTTACGGAATATGTAACTTGGTACTCGCGTACTAACGAAGATAAAGTACCTAGGTACCTTAGGTAGTTCAGGTACCTAAGGTACCTACGGAGTACCCCTAGATACGTACTTCGCACCTTCCCGACTGACCGTGCCCTTGCCCGTACAGGTAACTGAGAACCTTCCCTTGCTCCTTCTCTGGTGCTCCAACTCCAACTCCTGGCCGTTCTTGGTGCATCGGCCTAGGGGGTAAAGAAAAAGCCACCATAAACGCTGCACGACAGGCAGCACGACGACCCAAAACCAAATTCTCTGCGACAACCCATCCAACCTATCGCATTACGTGCGACCTCAATCAATCTTCTATCTTTCTAGCTATCCTGCAGCAAGCATTCTTCTGAGCTTTGACGACGTTACCTCGCATTTATCGACACCAATCCTCAATTGTCACGAACGTACGCGCCGACTTGCCTCCAAGTTTCTCGGGTTGAGGTGTCCTCCAAAGCTATAGCCATATAGCCAACCTCCCTGAAAAGGGCTCGAGTGGGACCCTCGACACTGAGGGCTTCGCGTCACAGCTTACCATCCTTACAGTTTTTGTTCTTTCGTTCCCTTGTTTTTTGCCTTTCCCTCTCCTTTTCGTCATTGCTAGCTGGGCCTTGGCCAAATGCAACTCGAGCTGCCCGCGCTCGCCTCCAGCTTGACGTCGCACCCGACACAGGACCCAACCGCGATAGCTCGAACGCACACCCCAGACACCAAGTCTATCATTTTGATTCAGAGACAACCCGGTTCAGCTTTGGGAGGGGGGCATACAGGGACATAGGACTAGGGGGTCCATTCTCTTTCTTGTACGCACTCATGAGCTGGCCACCGGGCTCCGGTAGGGCGATGAACCCTGGCAACAACATGGGCGGAGGGCCCGCCGATGCCGCTGCTGGCGCGCAAGCTCACAGCTCGAACCTCCCCCATGCGACCGAGTACACACTACAAGGTAAGAGCAGCCGTCAATACTCTTCTCTCGTCCTCCACTCGATATGGGGGTTTTTTTTCTTCTTCTTTCTTTGGCTTTCTGTGCCTCCAGACGCTCGCTGACTTGGATCCTCCCATCGTCTTTCCCAGGTGTAATGCGCTTCTTACAGACGGAATGGCATCGATACGAACGGGAAAGAAACTCATGGGAGATCGAGAAGCAGGAAATGAAAGCGCGGATAGCCAACCTGGAGGGTCAGGCGAGAAGGGCCGATGCCACCCAGAAGGCCCTGAGCCGTTATGTGACCATTCTGGAAAAGAAGATTCTGAACCAGAAGATGATGCTTAAGGGCGCTGGTACTACGTCCGAGGTTGAGGAGGAATCGGCCAAACGCGAGAAGGATCGGGCACTACTGATTCAGGAGAGGCTTCGATGTAAGGACATATCCCCCTCCACCGTTTCTCTTTTCTTTTCTTTTCTTTTTCTTTTCTTTTCTTTTTCTTTTCTTTTCTTTTCTTTTCTTTTTCTTTTCTTTTCTTTTCTTTTTCTTTTCTTTTCTTTTTCTTTTCTTTTTCTTTTCTTTTTCTTTTCTTCTTTTTCTGTATTAACACGATCTCTCCGCAGCTTCGACCGGACCTAGCACGAACGTCGAGGAAGATATTGTCGTCAAGGGTGACGACGAATCACAGCGCGCGGACCTGAAGGCCTTCCTAGACCAGTGTCAGGAGGAGTTCACCTATCTCATGGTCACTCCGGCGAACCCCTTGCCTCCTCGCGAATCGCCACCGTTACCTATTCTGGACGAACATCCCGGAGGGGAATACCCGTTGCCCGGTGGCCAACATGCGATCGAACCCAATTTTGCCCAGCCTATGCGTCAGAATGTTAGAGACTTCAACCGGCCGGGACCGCCGCCGAGCCATGCTCCCCCGATGCAACGGAGCCAACCATCCAACTTGCCGCCGAAGCAGCAGTCAGACCTTCCACCTCATCAGGCGACCACTTCCGAGGCAGACAATGCCGGCGTTATGTACGCCGCCGGGACTGAATGGCCACAACCTGTCTCGGTCTCCGTTCGTCCAGTTGACGACAACATGCAGCGTCCGAGTCATGGCTTCGAACCTTTGAATCCCACAGACAGCCTCGGGGGGGCCGTACCAAAGCGAGACGTCGCGGCCGGAACCGATGCCTGGGAATTCCCGGAAGGCTCTCTTTCCGAACTGACCCCGAGTCCTGCGCAAGCCCAGGGCTCGAACCGTCCAGACACCGACGTCTTCCCCAATGCCGATAGCATCCCCAAGTCGCCAGCCAGAGCATCGAGCTCACATAGGAGAAAGGGTTCCATGTCGAGGCGACGCAGCTCAGATCAGGGACTATCACTGAACGCCATGGCTCAGAAATCCGATGGTGGCAACTTCAGGCTGCGATTCGGACTCAGGGGCCATCTTGACACCGTTCGTACCGTCATCTTCTCCGGCGGCGGCAGTCCTGGCGAACCGGAAATCTGCACCGGGAGTTACGATGGCATGGTCAAGCGCTTCCTCATCCCGAGGTTCGATGGCCACACCTCGATGCCGACGTTGGATCTCGACGTCGTAGCCAACTTCACCCACCGTGGCCATACTGGTGCCGTTCTGTGTCTGGCGTCCTGGTCTCCGTCTCCCAACTTTTCCACCGGCGGACGTGCGCAAGGCGACGGCTGGATCTTTTCTGGAGGCCAGGATGCCACCATCCGTGTTTGGGAACGTGGTCGCGTCGATCCCAAGGCGACCATCGATGGCCACACCGATGCCGTCTGGGCCGTTAGCGTCCTTCCGGCCACCCTCGGCGCCATTTTCGGCCAATCCAACCCCTACGGCAACCCCGATAGGATCTTGCTCGCATCTGGCGCGGCTGACGGCACAGTGCGCTTGTGGGCGGTGAGCGCGCCTCCACAGCTCACCTCGCCGCAACCCAGCAATAGCCGTGCCGGACCGCTCGGCAACCGGGGCCGAGTGCGTGGAAATTCAATGAGCTCCGGCAGTGCGTTTCCCAGCTCGCCCCAGCCCAGCATGGCTTCGAACTCGCCTTTCAACCATACCCTGGTTCACAACCTATCCAGGTCGGACGGCTCCTCGGCTAGCGCGACCTGCATCACGCCCCTCAGCCCAACCGGCGAGACTTTTGTCGTCTCATACTCGGATGCCGCCATCATCGTCTACGACACCCGATCCGGCGAACAGATTGGCACCATGGACAGCCTCGAAACGTACGACGGATCGCTGGCTACCAGTGTCAACGCGGTCGTCGCCACCACGGCCGGCCTGGATCAAGGAACGCACCCCGGTGGCCTCCCCGAAGAAGAGGCGGCCACGAGCAGCGGGCCGACGGGAGGCAGCAGGTCAATGGCCGGCTCAGGCGTCGAGGGTGTTATTATTTCGGGACACGAGGACCGGTTCATTCGCTTCTATGATGCCAACAGCGGTAAGAAAAACACATCCTTTGGTTCTAGGTATTTCTTCAAAGTAAGTGAAGCTAACGGAAGGGTTAAAAAAAAACCAGGCCAATGCACATACAACATGCTGGCGCACCCGGCTGCCATCTCGGCCTTGTCGCTGAGTCCCGACGGGCGCGAGCTGGTCAGTGCAGGCCACGACGCCAGCCTCCGTTTCTGGAGCCTGGAGAAGCGGTCTTGTACGCAGGAGATTACGTGCCACCGTATCATGCGCGGTGAAGGCGTCTGCTCTGTCGTGTGGAGCCAAGATGGCAAATGGGTCGTCAGTGGAGGCGGAGACGGCGTCGTCAAGGTGTTTGCGCGGTAGTGTCGTGACACAGAGACCTCACCAATTCCGTCGCAATCAAGGTCCATCTCTATCTTTCCAGTATTCGACGAAGAGCCCTCTCGAGCTCCCTCACCACTCTGTTTAGACTCCTCTCCACCCGCTCCGCCCGAGTCTCAATCCAAGCCTATGTTACATGACGTTACCGACTTGAACTGGTTTGAACTGCTTTGAAGATACGGGCATTCGCAACGAGAAACTCGTTGGGCATTGGCGACAGGGGGTCCAGCCGCTAAGGGGGTGCGTTTATACCAGCTTCTTCAGGTTGACCTGAACGTACAGATAAGCAATTTTTATTCCAATTTCTTTTTTTTTTTTTTTTTGGCATAGGTATGAGGGCCAGCGAGGACATTGTACGAAGTAGGGAAATGGGAGAAGAGATGAAAGCGAAAATGCAGACGGAGGATCCGTTCCACCGTCGACGATGCTCTTGTGTAATGTGTAAAACTTGGCGGGACTACTGCAGTATTGCGATACCCCAAGTACAGTTTTGTGTGACCGGATTTCGACATGGTTCCGTTCGATATCCCTCTTTTTATGGATTATCCCGAATGAAAAGGGAAAAGAAATAAAGAAGAAACAAAAAGGCATATTGTGCTTCCCGTCCCAAACACATCCTATCATCAAAGTCGTAAATCGTAACAAGCAATGGGGGAGGAGGTGCAATGGAAAGATATCAGGTCTAGAGTTCCATCTCCTCTACCTCCATCCCGCATCCCACACAAGTCTTGACGGTCATGCCGTCCTCGTTTTCCACTGTCCTCCCCCACTCGTGGACATGCCTCCCGGAGCCGATGGCGTCGCCGAACTTCTTGGGTCCGTCGGCAGCGGCACCACCCTTGGCGGCCTGACGACGGAACGCCTCCGTGCGCGTCTTCTTCTTGAGCTCGGTGAGTTTCTCCTTGAACTTCTTCTCCTTCCGGGCGCGCGCGGCCTCCTGGCGGCGCGCAAACTCGGCGTCGAGGGCCGCCTCGCTGCCCCACTTCTTCCCGAAGGCGTACTCCTCGACCTGGCAGCGGAGGAAGAGCATCATGTCGTGCCAGTGGCTCTTGTGCGGGTTGGGGCGGGAGAGGTGCGGGAGGATGTCGGCGTCGCGGAGCTCCGGCTCTGTGAGGAGGTAGTCCTCGCGGCACTCGGTCTTGGTGAGCAGCGAGTAGCGTTCGGGGAGGCGCTCCTTGCAGGGGGAGCAGACGCGCACGCCGAAGACGTCGGCCCAGATGTGGTCGATTTCGCGGGCGCCGCACTCGCGGCAGGAGTGCGCCGCTTGGTCGTCCTTGTCTTGCAGAACCGAGAGGGACGGTTCGAACGGCCCCGCCTTGGTGCGCTGGAGTTTGCGGAGGGTTTGGAACCGTTCCCACTCGCGCTGCGTCATGCCGGCTGGTTTGGTCTCGGCTTCGGGTTGTCCGGGTTTCGGTTTCGGCGCGAGGGCCGTGTTGTGCGGGTCATCTTCGACAGTGAGGAAGCCGCCTTTGGTGTCGGTCATGGCGGCCATGTCGTAGTCGACGTATTTGGTAAAGTTGCGGACTGGTTTCAGGGGCCGGTAGCCTTCCTCGCCTGGCTTTGCCCGGGCATCCCGGACGGTGGATGGGGGCTTGTTGGATGGAGATGAGGAAGAAGGACCAGGGCCGCTCGATTCCGGTGCATCCGACGTGGTTATCGCGGAGTGTGGGCGTTTTCGGCTGTTGGGGATGTGTACTGTGTCGGTTGCTATGAACCCGGACGGGGTCTTGTCGAGGCCAGGTGACCCGGCAGCGTGACGGGCGGCTTCATGTTGCTCTCGAAGTGCTTTTGCTTTCAGACGGTTCTCTTCCTGGCAGAATGTCAACTGGATTGTCTAGCCGAGCCGACAGGGAAGTCGAGGGTGTTCGTACAATTCTGCGAGTCATCTCCGGGGTGGGACGAGATCCAGCGGCCACAGGCAGTGCTTGGGATTGAAATTCCCCCGATGGTGTTTTTGGTCGTCCCATAGAGGTTAATATTCAAGGGGAAGGTACTGAGTTAAATTGGGAGTCGGGTTTGTTGTTGTGAGCGTTGACGACTGTCTGATTCTGGATGCCTATGAAGTAAAGGTTTGGGGGGGGGGGGGGCAAAATGAGGAGGTTCAAAGTGCACGCGCTGGGACGCATCCGGGGTCGAAGTATTATGTCATGGTTTCAGTCGCGAAATCACGTGTCCCAATTTCTCGCCCTTCTCTTTCCCGTTTGTTTTCCCCTCCCCCCTTGGAGATATGATATACAAGTTGATAATTCTGCCAGGAGGATCTTTGCACGGTAGAATCTTACAGAGGCACTCTACAAAGGTGCTTATTGTAGTCTTTGACATTGCTACCAGAAAACATCGGTATTTGAGGCATGCATGCTCAACTCTCGCCCATTGGAGATAGCACAGTCCAGGAATCGAGGATATCAGACCTGCAGAGGAAGACAGGCAATGGGGCAAAAACCCGGACCAACAAGCGGAAGGCGTTCCCATCGCGTCATTTGCTCATGTAAAGCCCATTGGGCGCAAATTTATTCCGGTAATTTATTTTATTCTATCCTGTTAGCCCAACATCCTGACTTTCCCGGATTCTCATCTCGACTGGTCCAATGTAGACCGATGGATGAGAGGACTGGCGCCATGCCCATAGGCGAGAAAGATGGAAGGAACGCAACCCGGCCATGCCGCTGCAGCTGCGGCATCAGAGTGACAAATCGCACGCACACGACCGGTTTACTCCTCCTTGGCACCACCACGGCCGGCACGCTCGGCTGCCTCGACTGTCTTCTTATCGCTCTGGGCAGGACCGCTCTGGAGACCGCTCATGAAGCCACCGCCGGCCTTGAAGGGCCGCTTGAGTTCGCCGGAGGCGGGCTGGCCCCAGATGTAGATCTTGGCCAGGTTGCTCTCGAGGGCGCTCTTGAGCGGGATGATGGACTGGACGAGGAGAGGGTTGGTGTACTTCATGTACAGGTGCATGAAGGCCATCATGGCAACGCCCATGGCCTGGGAGCGGAACAGCTGCTTGAGCTGGCTCGAGTCGTACGCATGGATCGTCGTCGTCACAAGCTTGGGCTCCTCGGAGGAGCCCATGGCAGGAGGCTCGACGTATTTGAGCGTTGTCATGTCTGTTCCGTTGTACCATCTGTTAGTCGCCTCTCTCTGCGTGTAGTAGCTCGCCCCTTGTTTCATTGGAAGGTCCTGACATGGCCTCCTGAAGAGAGAAACCCAGACCAGGACACATAAGCCAGGACTTGCGTTTCAACGTACCCTTTTTCGCGTTAATCTTGGACAGGATGTAGATGTAGACTAGAGCAATCAGGAAATTGCTGAAAAGGTAGGCGGCGCGACACCCGTTGAGGACGTTGGGGTCATCGAAAGGGATTTTGCGCGAAACCTGCATCATGCCGAGCATGATGACAAGGTTGGTGCTGTCGACATGACATCTGGGTTAGCGAACGAGTTGTCTCGCGGGCGTGCCCAGCGGAGGGAAGCAAGACAGAAGACGTACACTTGCGGGCTGACCATTGTGACGGGAAATCTGCCGATATATTGAGATAGGCTGTTGGCGGTGACGCGAAGGGGTTTTGCGACGAGGAAAGAAACGTAAAATGTGGCACGAGGAAAAAGGGTTGCGGCAATGATGGGATTTTCTGCGGGCGGAGGAGGAACGCGGATTATTAGGGGTGGGAGATAGCACCGGGAAACCCTTGTTGGGCCTTTTTAGTACCTACCTCACCTTAAGAAGGTACGGATACGGAGTACGTACTTCGTAATTACCTCCGACCTCATGCGCTGGGGATTTTAGGGGGGCGATTTGGTTGTTCAATCAGTCTCTGATAGCGCCATTGAGCGCCACCTGTGAAAGTACTAGGTACGAAGCACTCCGGACTACTCCGAGCTTCGTACACACTGCCCAAGTTACGTTGTAAGGTACCTTACTCACATAATTACATGCCAGTACATCTACATCCTCTTATCAAAGGCCACGTTCACTGTTAGTTGACCTAAAATAAGGTATCTGAGAAGCGACTCCGACGTAGGCAATATCTATATAATTATTACTGGGTTAGGGAATCTGTAACTACTACAGATGAAGTGTAAAATACAGCCCGTTCCCGAAAACTCCATCCGTTATTCCGGCCTGATATCACGTTATTCTGCTCCAAGACGCGAAAGAAATAATATTTCCCAGCAATAAATATAGTCTCATAATACTAAAGTTCGACGAGCTTGACGGAGTATTATGCAGCTGCATCGGGCCTATCTATCACTTGAGGGAGCAATGAAAATGTATCATGGATCACGGACTTGTAGTCCGGCTTGAACCCTGAACACTGCATGTGTCCCACGAAGTTTACTCCGTACCTTAATTACGCCCACTGTAGTCTGTACCTTCGCTAATACCACCTCTCCACGATACGCCCCACCATAACCCGCTACTACGATGGTGTGCACGTGACATTCATCTAACCCAGAAAATATTACCGAGAAGCTCCAACATCGCGAATCCAGACTTGAGGTGTCGTGAGTGACAGAGGACGTACTGATTCCACGAACCAGCCATCTGCTCAACATGCAGCCTACGAGGTATCTTCTCAAGCGCTCCGTGTGGAAGGGTGAGTCCATTCGCGCCAATTCCAGAAACTATCTAATAATAGACCGCTAACTGCTCTGCGTCGGATCAGGTCCCAACATTGTACCGTACGCGATAGACACCCGTTGCCCTTGGCCTCATGCTTCCAACATCCCCGTGTCCACCTCTAACTATTCGAGAACAGTCTCCCCATCGTGCGCCCACAACCCGGAAAGCGAACCCCCCCCATTAGGACGCAGGCCCGTTCAGCAACCATCCTGCCCAACTTCGTCGGCCTCAGGTTCCATGTCTACAACGGCAAAGACTACCATGAAGTAACCATCACCGAAGAGATGGTCGGCCATAAACTCGGCGAGTTCTCACCGTATGGTCCTTCTTTCTTTTTTTTTTTTACTTTCCTTGCCCGATTCGAAACTCGGCGATTATACTAATAACAGGTCAGGACGAGGAAGCCTTTCATCTGGTCGAGGGCCTAAATCACTTGGGGGAGTTTACACATACACTACAATGGCGTCCATGGGTATATGCGAAAAATCAGGCCAGCTCGGCATGTTGTACAATGCTACTAATGTGTATCATATTAAAAGGCTAGCTCCGTTCTTATTTCACATGTTTTGCCCCTTCGAACATCAGGCGTTCTCATTCTAGATGCCCGTGACCCAGAGCACCCATTCCGATCTCCCGTTCCGCCCTATACCATAATAAACGTCAACCGGAAGGACTTTCCGTTAACGCCTAGTTCCGATCTCGAAATGTAGCCCTCCAACGCCGTAGAAGATGTTACCCACGATCCGCAAGAAAAGCCCAGCCGTTCCGTTAATCAAATGTCATCCCACCACCAATCGTTTCACCGGTAGAACTCGCTCCGTTTGACATTCACGCCGTACTCTCCAACCGCCATGCCTAGGTCCTCCATCGTCAGCACTGTCCGGTTCTGGCTTCCACCTTGTCCGCCGCCGCCGTAGCCCGGTCGCTGGATGCCCAACGGACCACCCCGGCCCTGGTCTTTGGTGGCGGCAGCGCCAGCGGGGCCTGTAGGCTGGCCGGGGATCGGGAAGCCGGCCGCAGCGCCGAGGCTGCCCATGGGATTGTTCGCGTTGGTGTTGGATGCGCGGATGCGCGAGTACTGGTAGGCGTCGGCGGCGATGTCGGCGATGAATTTTTGCGTCGCGAGAGCCAGGAGGCGCGCGAGACGCGGGTCTGTCTGCGGTGGCGGAGGGAGGCCTGCCTTGGTCATGTAGTAATTCGTGACGGCGTCGGGGATCTTGTTGTTGGAGACGGGTCAGCCAAAACCCCGTCGGCGGGGAAGGAAGGGAAAGTCATCAGCTCACAATAGGGGCATAATCGTCCATCTTTGTGAGAAACTCGCGCAACGACATATCCTTGCGGGTGGGCAACTTGGGTTCTGGGCCGGGCGCGATCGCCTCTGGTGGCATTTCGGTATCGCCATTCTGGGTCGGTGCCTGGGGCGCTTCTTCGGGGTTGGTGTTGGCATCTGCTGTGTTGGGTTGCGATTCGGGCGCGGTGCTCGCCATGATGTAAAGATTGTATTCGGGGCTTTCGAAGACGTCAAGAGCTTGATAATTGTGGCGTTCCGAAGGGTATCGTTTCTGTGTAAGGTAGTTGATGAGTTGAGGTTGACGGAGCATGAAGGTACCTGGGTGATGGTTACGAATACGGCTACGGAGTGCCTAGTTTGCTTATGTCATCATCCAAGCTATTGTCCATCCCTCGACGCCAGCTTCAACGGTCCTACCGGTCTAGCATTCGCTCCTAGAAGATGGAAGCAGGGCCGGCGACATATTGGGCCAAACGGTCCGCTGATATCACGACGTCTTATGCTGGAGTCCTCGAGAAGGGATGGGCGGTATAGTAGATAACACACAGGGGATTCTTTCTGCTTGCCTGCTTCCCAGCTTTCGAATTGGGGAATGAATGTATAGAGCAAAACGTGTCGGGAGGCAGACAGCTCGACGGGATACCTACAGTGCCATGGTCTTGACATAATTATACACTCAATATCCCACACATACTCCCACTCTCGTCTTATGTGCAGTGCTAGAAGTCTTGGCCGCTCGACAGGTCCACCCAACTAGGCAAACCCTCCCTTTAGGAGAGGCCCTCAAGAGTATCCCAATGCTGCCCCTATATGAGGTGATCATAGGAGAAATGCATACAGATATGGGAATGCGCTACGTGAAACAAGAGTTCATCGCCTACGCGTGTGTTGGGACCAGCGTGAAGGATATCACGGCTCTTCAACATCGACGGGAAAGCGTAGATATGTATAAATACAATGTCCGATAGGAAAACCTAAGCTGCCATGCAAGTGTATGTTATCCGCCTGCACTGTTTCTCCGACTCGCTCTAATATTACTCGTGGGTTATCATTTGACCGCTTAATACCCAATAGAGGATCCATGGCATCATAGCATAGTATCGTCTCAAATATCGCTACCTAGGACCATCCACACCAAGGACCATGCCATCGCCGTAAGGATTGTCTATTTTATCGAAGTTCAGGCTCCTTCATAAAGTCCGGCTCGCCAACCTCTCGCTCGAGGGCCTCCCACTGCTGCGCTCGCAAACGTCGGTCAATGCGCTCAAGCCGCATCTCCGAATCCTCATCCACCCATTCATCCTCGTCACGGCGTCGCGTCGGGTTGTCGATCAGCTCGATTATCTCTGCCATCGGGTTGCTGCTCTCCGTTTCCGCGCCCGGCATGCCCCGGGCACCGCGAGAGTCGCCATCGGCAGCGTAGATTTTGATGCCGCGCAAATGCGTGTCTTTCCCGTTCTGGTGGTTCTCGAGGATCTGCATCTGGAACACGTAGCACACCAGCGTATTCCCGTCCGGCCCGCCCCCGGCACCTACGACGGGGACCTGCTGCCAACCCGACGGGGCGGAAAGCTCCATCATGGCGAACTCGAGGAGGTTGTTCTCGCTGGTTCCCGCTTTGAAGACAATCCGGGTAGGCGTGTACGACTCGTCGCTCTGGTAGTCCACGAAGAAGCGAATGTCGCGGATGCCCACACGCTTGATGAAATAGACGGTTAGCTTGTGAGGCTGCGGCCCATCGGATCTAACGTGAGTTGAGGTCAGCTTTGTAGTCCGGCATGCGCACTTTAGGGAGTGGGTAGTAGGCCATACTGCCAGTAAGCATCCGTGTCGTCGCTTCGCAATTCTTCCACGCCATTGCCAGGCTTGTGACTACTGACAGTGAACTTTCCGAGATTCGATATTTCCTTTAGGCCCAAGGCGCTGAGGTCAGCTGGCAAAGCCAAGTCGACGTCCTGCTCCTCCTCTTCATCCTCTTCGAGCCGGTCCTCGACCTGCTCGTCTATCATTTCGGTACTGTGGTGGTTTAGTTGTTCTTCCATATCGTCGACACTTGTGTAGTCATCCTCCTCCATGGTCTGATAAGAAACAGCTGGGGTTGGAGGTGCGGGAGAAATATTCGTGCCGTTCCCTAGGTCAGGTGTCGCAAAGGAAGCATGAGGTACTTGGGGGAAGTGGGCTGGTGAGAATTGCCGTATTGAACCTGGAAAGCGGAATAAAGTCAGTGGAGGCAATGATAAATGTGATTAATATCCCTTGAGGTCCGTTCCGCTTGGTAGCAGCCTATACCACTGCGTGTTCACGATGTGAGCCGGGTCTCATAGTGCTGTGTCACCGGGGGCGGGGGGTGGAAATGGACCCTTGATCTTAAGTATACTTCGAACAAGCAAGAAGAAAGCTCCTCCTCCATGTACTATAACCAGGCAGTAAGGCAAAAAGAATCTTTCAGTCCCTTAAAAGAGTGTGGCCTCTCAGGCACTGTCAGGAACTCAAAGAGTTATGATTATCATGCAGCTATGGATGCTTGGTGCTTCAGGAGGTGTGAGACCGAGCGCTCTTGATGCTTCTATAAATAACAGATACAAGTATTGAATGATGCTCCAAGTGAGAAGAAAAGGAGGCCTGGGTGTTTGGAGGGGTTTAGAGACATGTGCAGTTCAACCTCGATGGATTTTGGGAGACAGGATGAACCCAAGGTCGAGACGCAGCAGATGAATTACGAGGTCCAAGAACTCCATCATATGAGGTCGAGTTGGACAAAAGAATGTACATATGTAGAAGAAGAAGAAGAAGAAGAAGAAGAAGAAGAAGAAGAAGAAGAAGAAGAAGAAGAGAAAGCCGACTGACCTTGGTGATGGGTGGCCGGTGAGGCCAACGACGCATGCCTGACATTACGGTGCATTGTTGGCAGAAGGTCAGCATGGTCATTTGGACTTGTATCCAGGTGAGGACCTTCTGGAGTGTGAATGTGGTTCCCTTCTGGTGTATGCATTGGGGCTGGTATTCTTGTTGACGATTCTTGGCCCAGCCGACGCGCCCGTCTCGGGCCTCGAAGCGTGCCTTCCATGCCTTCGAGTTGCCCGTGGCCTTTTGGTTCTTTGAATTGCTAGACGGTGTTGTATTGAAGACGTCCTCTTGCTACCTAAGTAAGGTACCTAAGGTAGGTAAGGTAGGTAGGTAGGAACGCGATGTTGTGTTGGCATAAAATGTACGGAGTACGGTACGTACAGTCGGGTCGGGTCAACTATAATTTCGAGTCAGTCCCAAAACCACCCCACCACCACACTACTACCACTAGTCTTCGAGGTCCTCCCATAGAATGCGTCGTCTCATTTAAGATCGACTTCTTTTACGTACTTAGTTGCGAAGGTCGTAACATATCCGAGTTGATTATGGCAACAACATAAACACGAGGGTTTTCAACAAACTACAAAGCAAAATGCTCTGAAATGGCAGTACTGGGTTAACACATGCCCTGAACCAAAAACCGTCCACCAATCCGCCCAACGCCGGCCAAATACGTTTTAAACCCATCGAGGTATCATACAGAGAGGACGAAACATGAACCAGGCTTTCCAGTTAAGCATCCAAGGACTGGCGCTTCTTCTTGGACTTCTTTTCCTTCTTGGGCGTCTCGTCTTCCCCGTCCTCGAGTTTCCTCTTCTTCTTGCCACCGTCAGTGGCAGCGGCCTTGCTGGGTGTGTCCCCGCTGGCTTCGGCTTTACGCAGCTTCTTGAGCTCCTTCTTGCTGTGGACGACAGGCGAGCCATCGGAGTTAAGTTCGACGTCACCACGCTCAAACTTCCTCTTGAACTTGGTGACACTGACGCCGGCCGCCGCCGCCAGCCGCTCGTAATCATCCTCGGTGAGCTTGGAAGGTGTGGCCGCAGCCTTCTTCGAAGGGGTAGCCTCGGCCTTCTTGGAGGCGTTCTCAGCGGCTGCCGCGGCAGCTGCTGCGGCGCGCTTCTCGTCTTGTTCGGCCTTCTTCTGCCGCCTCGCCTCCCTTTCCTTGCGCCGGGCCTTCTGTGCCTTGCGGGCAGCCTTGTCTGTGGGACGTTCGCCATCGGTGTCGTCTGATACGGAGGAGATGGTTGGGGATCTCGGGGGGGCGCCATTTTCACCGCCGTCAGCCATGTCCTCATCCGAGTCGGCCTCAGCGCCGTCGGCGTCCACCATTTCGACTTCTTGAATCAGGGGCTTCTTGTCCTTCTTCTTCTCCTTCTTGTCCTTCTTCGACTTGCCGTTGACCTCGGACGCGTCGGCGATACCATCCGCGTCGGCATTGTACTTTCGAACTTCGTTCAAAGTGAACTGGGCCGGTGCAGTGAGCGAGCCATCGGGTGCGATGTTGGCACCCCTGGGAAGCAGAGGCTTGCCTTCAAGTTTGCGCAGAAGGTTCTCCAGCTTGATACGGCTGGTGAGGCCGAGCATACCCCTCTCCTCCTCGTCGGCACCATCCTCAAACTCGTGCAGAGCGTCAACTCGCAAGCCCAGAGCAGTCTTGGCAGCCAGAGAACGAGCGATCTTGCCCTTGTTTTTTCCGGTCGCCTGACCGACAAGCGAAGAGTGGTAGATGATACCGTACTTTGGCGTATCATGCTTCGTCTTCAGGGCGCGGAACAGTGCCTTCTCAGCACCAAGGATCTGAATGGTGGAACCGGGCGATTTCGCAAGATTGAGGATGGAACCAGAGTGCGCAATCAGACGCGCTCCAACCAGCGTACCGACCAGACTTGTCAGATTGGGTGCAAGCGCACGCATACGCGTTTCCAGGTAGGACGACAGTTGGGTCCGATAATCCGAGTAGGTGATGACCTGACGGGCCAGGAGTTGAATGTTGTCGAGATCCTCCTGAGTGATCTCCGTGCCCATGCTGATCTCAGCAGCTGTCTTCACCGCGGCCTCCAATTCTTCAGGCAAGATCTCGCTAAGATCACACTCGGCGATATTCTCCCGCATACCGGCAGCGAGGACCAGGCGAGCGTAGGCGAGATTGTCATTGAGAATCTTGGCCAGCTCGGGGAAGTGCCAGCCGTACCACTCCTTCGTGCGCATGGCGTAGACGTTCAGCTCCTTGTCAAGATCATCGAGCAGCTTGATGGCTTGGATGACCATGGCATCGACCTTGTCGGCAGAGAACTTGAGTTTGTGGCGCGAAATGGAGTGCGACAGACCAAGAGCCATACGGCCGATGGTTTCCTCTTCGAGACCCGGAATCAGAGAAGACAGATTTTCCCGAACGGCACGAAAGAGGTCCATGGTCGCGGCGTCACAGACAGCCTTGATATCGAGGTCGGGAAGCTTTCCAATAGCGTTTCCGAGCTTCAGATCAGCCACGATCAAAGATGCCTTCTTCTCGTCCTTCATCTCTTGGAGCAGGGTCGCGAGGATGGGAGGGACCTTGCCCTCTTTCAATCCACTGGCTTCCTCGACGGCAACGGCCGAGCTGTCGAACTTGGCGAACTTCTTCAACTTGAGCCTGCAATTTTGTCAGTGGGTTGGAAAACAAAAAGCAAAACACCAGTCCTTTCACCTGGAGTTTTCATCCGGACGCGGTGACACAGAGAACATGAATTGTAACACTTACATTTCGTTGATCTTCTCCGAAGAGGTAGGACCAGATGTTAGCTCATCACGCTTGAGCAGCTTCTTGTCGGCCGCCTTGAAGAGGCCGTAGCTAAGAGATGGTTAGTGCTGAGCTGTCTTCGTTTGCAGTTGCGGAACAGAGAAGCGTACCCTGCTGGCGTCTCCGCCAACACAAATAGAGACATTGTTATCCCAGGTCCTGTTCAGGACTATAAGAACCGGAGAGTTTGTGCTGCTTGCCGTATTGGCCTCCGAGAAGTGTCAACTGAAGATTGCTGGTTCTCGGATTTTGGTGGTTGGAAAGTTTTTAGACCAGAGCTCTGCCAATTTTTTTTCTGTTTTGCAATTGGCGACCTGTAAGGACCCACTTCCAATTGGCACCATGTGTGGGTGAAAGGTGGATTCGCAGAATTGTGTGGGCTCTTCAGCTCCTTCAGAGGTTGCAGAGCCGGCTCCGGACTAACCATCCACCCGAAGGTTGACTATCGGCCGGTCCATGCTTGGGGAAGTGGACTTGGTGCATGACAGAAGAACCCCAACACAAGCTTGCGGCTGGACTTCTATCAGAAGACCTTAAACATTACATTGTCTTGAGGGGAGCTTCACACTTGGACCTCGCTCATTCTGACAATAAGCCATTCTTCCCTCTTGCTTGCTTATATTTGATCACTTTGCAATGGAGGGTCTCCTCTTCAATGTCAACAACGGGTAAACGTGGTCTTCCCCAGAGAACATGTCCCTCCTCCCCCCAGCTAACATCGGTACAGCTACGTCGAAGGCATCGTTAGAGGATATCGAAATGGTCTCTTGACAGGTGCAAACTACAGCAACTTAACACAATGCGAAACGATCGATGGTTTGTCTAGCCCAAGCTCCTCCTGGTCGACCTCTTCTGACTGACTTGTGGCTTCTAGACCTCAAGCTTCAACTCGGCCCTGCCTATGGCGATTTTCTAAGTAGCCTTCCTCCAAACCCCTCGACTGCGACTCTTGCGGCGAAAACGACCGATAAGCTAGTGTCCGAGTTCCGCTATGTACGAGCCAACGCTGTGGGCACGCTTGCGACATTCATGGACTACGTTACCTACGGCTACATGATTGACAACATTGCCCTGCTCATCACGGGTACCCTTCACGAGCGCGACACCCGGGAGCTTCTAGAGCGGTGCCACCCTCTAGGATGGTTCGAGGCGATGCCGGTCCTCTGCGTGGCGACGAACATTGAAGAGCTGTACAACAGCGTCCTCATCGAGACCCCGCTAGCCCCGTATTTCAAAGGCAGTCTCAGCCATCAAGACCTTGACGAGCTGAACATCGAAATCATTCGCAACACGCTGTACAAGAACTATCTGGAGGATTTTTACCAGTTCGTCAACACGCACCCGGAAATGGCCGGCACACCCACTTCTGAAGTCATGTCCGAGCTTCTTGAATTCGAGGCGGATCGCCGCGCTATTAATATTACTCTCAACTCCTTTGGGACTGAACTGAGCAAGGCGGACCGCAAGAGGCTCTACCCCAACTTCGGCAAACTGTATCCCGAGGGCACCCTGATGCTCTCGAGGGCGGATGACTTTGAAGGGGTGCGTTTGGCTGTCGATGGCGTCACCGACTACAAAAACTTCTTCGACGCGGCTGGCCTCGGCGGCGGTCTTTCAGGACCCGGCAACATGGGCGGAGGTGCCGCATCCGAGAGCAGGAGCTTGGAAGACATGTTCTATCAGAAGGAGATGCAGATCTCCAAGCAAGCCTTCACAAGACAGTTCACCTTCGGCATCGTCTATGCTTGGGTGAGGCTTCGAGAACAGGTAAGACGCCGATATCGAGCCAATGTCCAGTACAATCTTCCGGTCTAACAGTGTCTTTAGGAAATTCGCAACATTACCTGGATCGCTGAATGCATCGCCCAAAATCAGAAGGATCGGATTGGGAACTACATCAGCGTGTTCTAAAAAAAAGCGCCCCCATTTTCCCCTCCTGATGCCCTACCTGTAGAATACGACATGACCACCACCACAGAGATTTCCTTAATTCCACCCCCTTGGAAGGGTGATTGCGGCGCAAAGAAGACGGACTAGCAGCTCGGGTTGTTAATGAACTTGTGAGATGGGGCCATTGTGTCTGCTCAGCAGCAGCAGCAGCAGCAGCAGCAGCATGAAGGCGTATTGTACATATTGAATAATGTGGAGTCTACAAGTTAAAACAGGCTCTTTCCAATCTTACAACGATATTTGCTTCTTCCAGGTCGCAGGGGTCAAACCCAATGTCTCCAGCATATGAGTCCACCTCTCGCTACCCCTTTCCTTCCTCTCCATATACCTCAACAGCCGCTGCCTCTTGTGCAGGAGGACGCGGAGGTTCCTCTTGTTGTGCTTGTCCTTGTAGCCTCGGTTCTGGCCCAGCTCCTGCGCCAGCTTCCTGGCCTTTACTGTCAGGATAGCGATTTGGACCTCGGAACTGCCCGTATCGGGCCCACAGCGCTCAGGCATGGGATATGGGTTGGTGTCGATCGAAGCGGGCCTCGGCTTCAGTGTCTTGTCCGTGTTATGACGGCCGAAGGTCTCGATGCACCGCCTAACGTTGGCGTGTCGTCGCATCTTGGAGTTGGCATTATCCATGGAGACGATCCGGTTCATAGCCTCGACAGCCCGCTTGTGCTTCTCTTCGTGCTCCTTCTCCGCCTGCCGTTCCGCTTCCGGGTCCACGAGGTCGCGGATTTCGCTCTTCACGGGCTTGGACAGAACGTAGGCGTGCTGGATTGCGCTGTCGAGCTCCTCGCGTGTCAGGAGGTTGTTCAGGATATGCGGCGAGGTCGGTAGGGGATAAGGTTCCGTTATGGGATTGCCGTCTGCGTCCTTCTCAGGCGTAGACAATGTAGCCTGGCCGGCCGAGTCAAACGACTCGACGAAGGGGGTGGGAATGCCGTGGACGGGATCGCCCCATTTCGTGTCGCGTTCTGCCTTGAGCTCCTCTTGCCGCTTCACATTAACAGCCTTACGCTGCTGGGCTTGCTGCCATCGATAAGGGTCGAGACGTTGTCGTCTCTTCGCCTCTTTTGCAGAGATATTCGCTGTCTGAACGATGGGGAGGAAATTCGGAGTCGCTGGTTTCGCGGCTGGCCGGAGGCATACTGAGGAGTGAGAGATGGAACATTAGTGACCAGTCTTGTTTTTAAGTACACAGAGCACAAAACTGTCGGACAAGTATCTTACAGCTGAAGGAGCTTAGCCTCTGTAGGGATTGTATTCTTGGTGGCATGGCGTCAAGATGAACCTCTCAAATGGCGAACACCATGCACCACGATCCATCGATTGGCAACAGGACCCATACATAAAATTTCCAGATGGGACGCTCCCAGGCGTTGCAAGTGAGAAGCGCAGAAACTCGCTACCTCGAATGTAGACTAGCGTCAATAGTCAGGTGACTTGGTGGGGCGAGTCTCAGGAAAGGTACGTATCCTTCGGCACTAGTCCTAAACCCGCATTAGTGCAATCAGGGCACACACATTTTGGGAATTTCGAAGCTACTCGCGAACTTTTCCCACCACCTCGACGACTATACGAACTCTTTGCGCCGCGGCAGTCCAACTTTCTTCTCTCAATCTGCCCTCCTCCCAAACCCCTTAATCCTCGAGGAAGAAAGCACACTGCACTCAAAATGGCGCCCTCTAACCTCCCCGCCATCTTCAATGCCACCTCCCAGGACATTGAGATGCTGCTTGCAGCTCAATGCCACCTGGGCAGCAAGAACCTCCAGCTTCACATGGAGCCTTACCTCTGGAAGACTCGCGCTGATGGTGTGAACATCATCAACGTCGGAAAGACCTGGTATGTGTTTTCCGGTTGGAATCAGCCCCAGCTCCTTTGCATCGACGAGCCGCCAAGAAACGGCTTCAAAAAATAAGTGAAGGAGAGCATTCGCTGATTACCCCCCACCAGGGAGAAGATTGTTCTCGCCGCTCGCATTATCGCCGCCGTCGACAACCCCGCCGACATTTGCGTCATCTCCGCCCGTCCCTACGGCCAGCGTGCCGTCCTCAAGTTCGCCGCGCACACTGGTGCCGTCGCCATCGCCGGTCGCTTCACCCCCGGTTCGTTCACCAACTACATTACCCGCTCGTTCAAGGAGCCTCGCCTCATCATCGTCACCGACCCCCGCACCGATGCCCAGTCCATCCTCGAGGCCAGCTACGTCAACATCCCCGTCATTGCTCTCTGCGACACCGACTCGCCCACCGAGTTTGTCGACGTTGCCATCCCCACCAACAACAAGGGTCGCCATGCCATCGGTCTCGTCTGGTGGATGCTTGCCCGCGAGGTCCTCCGCCTCCGTGGCACCATCTTCAGCCGTGACACTCCTTGGGACGTCATGACTGATCTGTACTTCTGTATGTTCTTCTTTTCTCTCTCTCTCTCTTTCACCACCCTCTCTCAGCATTCGACTTGGCCCTCCAAAAAAAAACCCCCCGCTTCGGATGGCAAACAAGGGAGCGTGTTATGTATAAGGCTAACCTCATTTCCACACAGACCGCGACCCCGAGGCCGAGGCCGAGGACAAGGTCGAGGAGGAGAAGCTCCCCGGCGTCGAGGAAGAGGGTGTCGTCGCCATCGAGTCCGGCTTCCCCGCTGCCGGCGGCGATGAGTGGAACGCCGCTCCCGCTGGCTTCACTGGTGCCGGCGGCAACTGGGATGGCACTGGCGATGAGTGGGCTGCCAGCAGCGCCGCGCCCGCTGCCGCGGCCGCTCCTGCCACCGGTGGCGAGTGGGGCGGTGAGGCCACCAAGGAGGGCGGCCAGTGGTAGGGTGCTGGTGCTCAGTCCGTTGGCGAACCCGCTACCACCGTTCTCGAAGCGGGGAGTTTTGAGGAGACTGCCTGGTAGACGACAACACGACGAACAAACGACGGTTGTTTCGTTACCATCATTGCCTCGTTCATCGCAACGCACTCGACTTGGAAGTCTATCGTCATATCTGTTCGCTATGCCAGCAAAGGCATGGCCTTCTTGTGAAGAAGGGGGGAAACAAAAAAGGTGGAAGGTTCTCCTAGGGTAAACTTGGGCGCACTAATGAGGGAAAGATACTCACAACTGGTTTTTTTTCGGTGATGTCGGTAGATTTGTTCTTTTTCAGATATAAGTCTGGCGTCCATGCACCAAGCAGCCGGGGAGAGGGAAAGCCCTGTGTGTCCAAAGGGGTGGACTTAACCGTTATCCCACCCTCGGGGAATCTCAGCTTCTTGTCTTACGATTTGATTTTCGCGACGCCGAGCCTCTTTGACTGTGATTGTCCAATGGCCCTTGGGAACTTGCAAAGACACAGCACCCTGCCATGACAACTCTCTCTCTCGGTTTTTGTCCTTATTGATCTGCTGCCCTAACATGTCGCGATGGAATGAGAGACTGTCTCTACCCTTCCATATCCCCAAGGCGGAATCATCTCAGGTGCAAAGAGCACTGACTGATGTATTGCGCAACACCACTAGGAAAGGCAAGGAACATAGGATGGACGGTAGTTGTTGCGTCTTATTCTTCTTCTCTACTTCTAAACATGCAATAACAACATGGGTATGGGTATCGATCGTATTCCACGTCCGCCTCTTCTCGTCTTATTCCTATCCCGGCCTCGCCTCCTGTCGCCTCCTGGGACTAGACCTTCTCATTGTCCCCCTTGTCCCCCTTACCTCCCCTGCCGCCCTGAAACTGGGAAGGAAATGATCACGAAAGCCATTCGCTCGCTTGACAAAAGGGATAATGTAAAGAAGAGCAAAAAGAGAAGAAAAGGATAAAAAAATTGTAGTAACGGCATGGGTATCTTACTCGGATAGAGAAGTCCATGCATCCATCCCCCCCAAAACCCCGAGACAAGATGAAGGACAAGTGCCAGTAGTGTTAACTTCCTTTCATCGAGACAAGTAACGCCGATTATAGGAGTACGTTATGTAAAATATAAAATAAACGACATCGACATGGCTGACGGGGCGAGACTTTCTCAAAAGACCGTCAGATGGTATGATGTATGAGAGTCGTGACTCGTTTGATGCCAAGCGGCTGTATCATCTTCCACGGTTTTGCAATAAAACTCGTGGCTGGTGTCCGAGGCCGTGAATATGTCTGCAGTGTGTCGGACCCGACACTTTGTTCAGTTGATCAGGAAACGTACGACGGTGTACAAGGGTCGGGTGTAGGCGAAATGGCGGTCCACCTCAGCATAATGTACAAAATAGGGGGGTGGGTATCTCTGTAGTCGGTCGAAATTGAGTATGCAAGGTACCTTAGCCAGGCCTGGTCTGATCTTCGTCTGGCCAACGGAGAGAATGGCGAGGAGGGCGAAATGAAACGAGCGGTGCAGTTTGAAAACACACCTTCGTCATTGGAAACGCGCTGACCGGGCTTTCATTCCAGACTCTCGGAACGACTCCTGATCTCGTCATCAGACAAGGCGCTCATCCAAAGACACCGCTCCGTGATGCCCTCGACAGGTTGGAACTGATACAGGGTGCTAGCCTCCAGCAACCGGAGGAGCGTCTTGACAATACAGGCCGCGTAACGGCACCGCTCAAAGTTGACGAGGGGAGCCGTAGTCGGAGAGCTGGCAATCTCCGACGGACGTTGGGCATTGAAAAGGAGATCATGGGTATAGATGCCCACGAAGGGGATACAGCCCAAGTCTGAACCACCCTCCATCTCGGCGCGGAGGTTGTAGAAGTTGCGCATCGGTGACACGAGGGTCTCCAGCTCGCTCAGAGTCTTGAGGTCGTGCGTCGGCACCATCTCCCAAGTCTTGGTCAGGCGAGCGATCTCCTGGCTCGTCAGCGCAATCGTTATCTGACTCATCGTCGCAAAGTTGCGGTGTCGCCGACAGTGAGCCGCGACGTGGATGAACTTGATGATGCATCCGGCACGCTCCTCTAGGTTCTGAGTGAGGACGATCTCGCTGCATGCCCATTTGACCATGATATTGAACCGGGCGATCACAACCTCGACACCATGCGCGTCGGTGTTGCGCAAGAAGTCGACCCAAGACCGTGAATCGTTACTTGCTGCGTTCTTCCAGTTCATCTCAATCAGTTCCCTCCAGTCGATCTCGTTTAACGCATCTTTTTCAATGAGAGTGAACTGCTCTGCAAGCACTTCCGACTCGAAGGCGAGGATGAAAGGCAGGTGAACCGAGTACTTCTTTGACCGCTCCCCGTCGCCCATCTGAGCATGGCCATGGCCGTCTTGCGCTTCGGGCCTCGCGTTGCTGGACTCCTTGGGGTGCTGGAGCGCCGTAGGTGTAGTGTCAGGGGTAAGGGTGAGCGGCTGCCGAACCTGGATTTGATGATCATAGAGCTGAGGAACGTTCGCAGTAGAGGGTGACATTTGAAGAGCTTGGATGAGTGTGATGGGAGGCGAAGGCGGCCTACTTTGACTAGTAAAATCATGAGTTTCGCCCAGTGGGCGAGATGGGAGTTTCCGCGCCACCGGGCTCCCAGCAGACGGAGCAAATACGTAACCTGCGCCTTCATCCTCTGTATCGTACGCATCCACGGACAACTCGGAAGACAAGTCGGTGCCGTCATCCCCACTATCGTCTTCCAAGAAGGAGGACTGTTGAGTTGCGCTTAGTGGGGGTTGGTAATCATGGTCCGGAGCCGCCTTCTCCATGCTCCTCGTCTTCAGGACGAATTCGTACGAAGGATGTTGAGAGTCGATGGGTAGAGAGGGGCGGGGTGTTGGGGCGGGTGAAAGGTCTTCAGATCCGAACAAGACAGACTTATCCCGCCATTCGACCGTTGCCGTTTTACTCCGTCCGTCGTCGGTGAAGCCCCGTTCTAGAAGAGGAATGGACGAGTAGGAGACGCCCGAGTTATCTGACAAGAACGAGCGTGCTTCCGTATGTGGCCGTGCTCGCGGGACATGGAGAGCGTCAGTGTTGGCGAGGGACAGCGTACCATTGTGGCGTTCTTCGTGCTCATCAGGACGGCGATTATGGTGGTGGTGGTGGTGGATGACCGTGTCGTCTCCGTCGCCAACATGGAGATGACGATGCTGTTCCTTCACCCCACTCTCGGCTTCAGATCCCTCATCTTCATCGTCAGGAACCAACTCTTCCGGCCAGGCTTCGGGTGGGTTGGAGGGCACTATGGAGAGCTTGAAAGTCTTCTTCTCGTACTTCCCTTCCAGCTTAGCTAGTGCGGATTCAACACCCCCGTCATCATCGTCGTCTGGAATTTGGGCAAGCTTCTGCGCTTCGGCCTCGAACGACGGAGGCATAACCGGCTTGGACGAGTGCGTGCTGATTAATGATACCTTCCGCTTGCCGGGCTGCTCAGTCAACGCACCGAGCGAGAATGTCCCGCCATGATCTGGCGAGATCCCGCTGGAAGCCACGTCGACGAATCCGCTCGAGTCATGGTTGTGGCTCTGCAAATATGAACTTCGCAACGATTCCGAATACGTCGTCAACGACCCTGCCGACCGTGACCTAGACAGGGCTGGGGCATCAAGCTCTCCGACGTTGGTAGCAGCCCGTAGGTCGCCTCCAGGTCTGCGCCGCAATATCCGAAGAGGCTGCGGAACGGCGTCCCCGTGGTCGTCAAGGACCTCGTCAAAATCAGCGGCCGAGGTCGCGGAGTAGGTACCCGCATCGAAGCTCCTGATGGTGGATTGCCGAGTGACGCCGGTACGGATAGAGGCGACCCGTCGATGTAAAATCGAGTTGAGGGACAGCTCCGTCCTGCCAGACCTCTGCCGTCTATGGTAGCCCGCACCAAAGCTTGACAGGGGATGCCGGTTCTGGCTTTGACTTACGGGGCCCGTCGACGGCTGCGATGGTATGCTGGTCAACGGCCAGTGACCATCTTCAGAAGTACGAGGGTTATAGCCATGCCCCAGGGTGGCCAGATCAGGGACGAACGGAGGAAGGTTATCGGATGATAAGGAGCGGCGAACCGCGCGTTGGGCCGGAACGGGATGCAGTCGCTGCGGGGTGTCTTCCGAGTGATCGGGAGGCGTGTTTGGTGGGGTGGGATCTGCATTACTGGGTGGCACCATGCCGTCGCTCACGTCGCCCGTTGCGTGCGGGATCGATGAGCTGTGAGCCCCGTACAGGGAGCTGCTTGGTATGACGGGGAGCGGATAGGGGAGCCCAGGCGGAAAGGTGTCATCGACAATAACAATGGACTTGCTCCCCGCCGTGATACCAGTGTCGCTCATAGGCCTCGTCTGAACGTCTTTCTTCGGACTCGAAAGAGGTGAGTTCGTATGTGCGTTTATATGGGCCTCCATACGTGCCTCCGTGAGGTCGAATGCGCCTTCAGGGATAGCACCGTGCAAGGGCAAGCCGCCGGGGAGATTGTCGAGTTGCGAGTCTCGTCTCTCGGACTCGGCAGCTACATCCTCTCGGATGGCCTTCTTAAAATCCTCGGCGATTTGAGCGCCAAGGAGGTCGATGCGAAGCGGCGGACAAACGTCAGTCTGACGAGGACGAGCTTGCGGCACAACGGCGGTTCCGGGGAGACGGTTCGTCGTGGCACCCTGAGGACCGAGGGCGGGCATGTTGATGATGTTGATGAAGCTTCCTTGGGTCGGGGATACTCCTTGGCCTTTGGTGCTCAATGCTCTCCGGACGCTGCCGATCAATTTCCTCATCCCTTGGCCAGACATGGCCGAGCCCGTGCATTTCTCGGCGTGCTCCGTACGTGCTTCAAAGACTGTGGTCTGCCGTTGTCTGTGTCTGCCACCCTTGCCAAGAGGAATGATCTCGACAAACGGTTGCCCGGGAGGCAACAGATTGCCCCTGACCAGGCTGCCGGGAAAGGGAAATGACACAACGTGTTCCGTTTCCGTGTTCGAGCCCGATCTCTCTGGGCTCTTGTGCGTCTTCTCCCTCAGGGAATCACTTAGACTACCGGCTCTCTTATGGCTAGGGCTAGGTCGGGCACGTTTTCCGGTCAGAGCACGGGGGGTTGTCGCTACTGCTGGCGCGTTCGTTTGGACGCAATTGGAAGGGACAGGATGCGCAGCAAGTGGGTGGCCGGTTCCTAACGGTTCCGCCCTCGATGTCTTGCCAGGGAAGGAGCAGGACAATACATCCACACTCACGATGCTCGTGGGAGAGGTTTGGTGCCTCTCCAGCTCGTCGATTCGGCCTCGTTCCGGAGTAGTTGGCCGGTGCCCGGGGACTTTCGAGTCAGTTACCTGATTCGAATTACCAGCGCTCGCGTGGAAATTTGGCTCTGGCTGGGAAACCTGGTGGCTGGGAGCAAATAGAGCGGACAGGCGGACAGGCACGTCGGGTTTCTCCCAAAACGACGGGTCAAGGCTGGGGTTCCGATGGCCAACAATGCCCCCGGGTGCGATGGGGACGTCGGGACCTTGAGAGACGTTGAACTCGGGACCATCCCAGAACTGGGCACAGACTCGTCTCCAACATTTCTTGAGTTCGGCCAAGATCTTGAGCTGCCCTTTCCGGGCCTCGGCATTCTGAGACAGCTCGTCAACCAGATCATTGAGCAGGTTACAGAAGGACACCCTGAGAGCATAGTCGGTGACAAGGTCGTCCACAAAGTAATTGAGGATCCAGTGACGGATGGCGACGAAAGTGCGCACCCTGACCACCAAGCCCACTTCATCGTCTCGGTCAAGCGCCCATCGCAGGCGCGCCATCAACATCTTCACAAGACCCATCGGCTCCAGAAAACATCGATAGGTGAGGAAGAAATCCGAAATAAGCTCGTAGTCGAGGAAGCTCGGGGAGGTGATCTCGGCTACCAGACGGGGCGGAGTGGCGGCTGTCACAGCGCCCGTAGGAGAATATCGAACGATGGTCTTGTCATCGCACGCCGGCTGGAAAGTGAGCGCATCGAACATGGCAGGCTCTACGACGAGATGCGTGGAAAAATATGTCGATCGGTATGGGGCTGCGAGTCGCGGCGACCGGCCAGGAGGAGACTTGGTCGCAGCAAAAGACGGTAGCCGAAATTGTGGAACGGTTATCGGGCTCGGCCTCTTGGACGACCGGGAGGTAGTATGAGGAGTCAGCTCGCCCTTGCGCGAACGCAAGAACGACACGTTGCTCGATCTGGGAAACTCCTCGGTGGGCGCATGGCTAGATCCTCTGAAGACGGGCGTTCCCCTCAAGGTGAACCGCGGGTTACCAATGCGCCAACTCGGAATCTCAACATCCAAGAGAGGGCCCTTCTGCGGATCCATATCCTCCATAGTCTTTGGCCTTTGTTCCTCGCCTGGCCTAGAGATGACGACTTTAAGACCTCCGGTGTCCGGATCCTCACGGGTCGTAGAATCAGAGAGGGCGCGTCTATGGCCGGTGGGTCGCCTGCCATGACCGGGGAAACGTGGCGGCGGCAGGATGGTGGCAGGTGTCGAGGGTGCGGGCGACCACATACCGCTGGCGAAATCGTCGAGCTGTCCGTTTTGCAAGTTCATTTCGGCGAGGGTGCCGAGACGAGCTGTTGCAGGAGGTGTCATGGGGAAGACAAAATGTGGTTGCGGGGGTCTCTGGTGGGGTGGTCGAACAGAGGGTCTGAAAGCTGTCAGATTCTAGTTCAAAGTTGAGTAGCGTTGCGATCAGGGCAGTCTCAAGTTTGCGTTGGCAAAAGTTCGTGTCCCCTCCACCTTTTTTTCCCCCTCTTCATTTGGATTTTTGCTTGTTACGCAGGCTCGTCGTCATAACGGGAAGGTGTCCCGAGTTGAGCAGAAGGAAGGAGAAGGACAAAAAAAAAAAGGACCAACTTCCTCACCTCAAATATATCCGTCCGTTGTTGCCTACGTTAGCAACAGTAAACTGTCGACCATCGCGGCCCCCCGAACCGCCGTCGGGCGTTATATCAGCCTTCTCACAGCTTCCATTCCCCCTCGTTCGCGCTGTCAGGTTCTTATCCTCTTGCGAACGTCGCTCCGTAACGGGAAGCAGGGGCTTCGCAGACGCCGTGTTGGCGGGGATACGAGTCTTGACGGGTCCTCGGACACTTCCTGGCATATCAGGTCCCTCCTTTCCACCCGAACCGACGGTTTTATGTGGTGAACCCCTCTTGAATCTCGCATCTCGTAGTATCTTTGCACGGGGACTTAATGAATGGTTGCTTGGTCGGGCCGCATCGCGCTGAGGGGAAAGATCGAGAGTGCTCAGACCAGTGGCGGTTGGTGAGGCTTTTGTGGGTGAGCCTGTGGCCTCTGTGCGCGATACGCGTGTGTGGTTCAGAGCCATGTTGAGCGGGCACGGCTCGCTACAAAGACTAATTTGCACGGGGAGGCAAAGTCAGCATGTCGTCGTCGTGTTTAAAGGAAGATGCTTCGATCCTCTCTTAATGCAATGACGTTGTAAAAAGCGGTTTGCGAGAAAGGGTTCGTTGGGTTAAGGTCGTGGTCATGTACGTTGCAGCGAAACATGTGGTCTGTGTTCCGGGCTCCCGATCGACACAACAGCTCTCATGGCACGTAGGATCCGCGGTCTGCAACGGAAGGGAACGGTGGGAGCGAAATGTGGGTTGGTTCGAAGGGATCACGTACGCTGGTCAGCGCCATGCAGGAGCGTGGGTTTGGTCGGTCGGTTGTCTGTCTGGTGGCTATGACTGTGTGAAGAGGAAGCTGCAAGTCGGAGAGGCGACAAAAGCGTAGAATCAGAAGAGAACCGAAACCATCTACGGTGGCGCGGAACGCGAAGGCGGCTGATTGCAAGCCGTGGCGAAGCTGAGGATCATTCGCCAAGGACAGCCGATGCGCGGCACGTTTGTTTCGTCTCGACAAATATTCTCCGACACTTGGGGGTTCCGATTCACTGACAATAGAACAGAGAATCGGGGGGAGAAAGGGATGAGCGAGGTCGAATCGAGGCAGGATACAGGCCGTGTGCTGACTCGGGAGTGTACGAAGTACAGAGGCGGATTGGGAGGTTAGTAATTACAGTACGAAGTATTGCAGCGCAGCGGTCGATTGGGTTGGGGGCGTGTCGGGTGGTCTGTGAGGAGAGCGGCGTCCTGTGGAAAGAGCGCAGAGGTAACCGAGCGAGTGACAGTCCATGGGGGGCCGGGATCATCGATGACAGAACGGGCTCTTGGGCTCTTGGCGTAGAAGACTTCATGTTGACAGGGTGCGGATACAACGTACGTTGTACCCAGGCGGCCGTCATTCAGGGTCAAAATGAGAAAAGGGGGGCAACGGTGCAAGTAACGACGAAGGTACTAGGTAAGGTATGTAATCCCATTGGGGGCGGTGGTCGGCGGTGGCCCCCTCATGCGAGGCAGCACCCAGAAGCCACCAATGAACCCCCCTGTGTAGGTACCTACCTAGGTACTCAGCATACCCTACATATTCCCCACTGACGCAGTTGCAACGCACAGTATCTTCGTGCTAGCAGTGACGCCTTAGTGCATAGTACCACGAACCTAAAGGTGGTCCGGGAGCAGGTTGTGTCTGCTGGAAAGTCGAGGAGATGTGACCAGCGAAAGTACCAGTACTTAGTACCACATGGCTCGACCTGACCATCACCGCGTGGACGTCTTACCCCTACGAAATTATACTGTTTTATGTGCCGTACGCACGAAGTACGGGCATGGATACCTACTTTTTCGCCTGGATTTACGAATACATAGGTCCTACTAAGTAATAGCAGCAGGATACCTTGCCTGTGGTGATCTTTTGAAAAGGAATTGTATTCGTAATTCGTACGGGTGCCGAGGTTCCTCAACAGTGGTTTTATACAACGAAGTGCAATTCTTATGTTGCTGGTTCGTACTGACCGAGGTTTTACTTCAACCTTCGAACAGATCTGGCATCCCTTTTCTCTCTTCCCCCCTGCCAACGCGGAATTACGGATACAGCTCTATGCGATTTGACATCATCACCCAACTAAAATACGCTGTCGATCATTAATGCAGTAATTTCTAGAGCACCGTTCTGTCGGAAGATTATGGGTAGGCATCTCTAACTACCTAGGTAGGTAGGCACGAAGTAAGGCAGATAAAGTAGGCACGTTGTATTCTGAATTAGGTACCGCACTGTATCTGTCGACAGATGCCTGTCAATGCGTCCTGTCGATGCATATTTCTTTTTATTAATCTGTACATACACTTTTACTGCGTAAGGTAGGTAACTCTCTCTCCTGTTTATCCTAATTTTTCATCGTCTTCTCATTCTCTTCTAAGCTTCTCGTCAGAAGTCGGCTGTACTTCGTAAGATGATTTGAGGACACCATTCTGTTATGTTGCCCCTGAACTTCATGCTGTCTTGCTCCCTTCGCCATGGATCATAACATTATGAAGTAGTGTACGAATGATTACTGGCCAGAGACGTTGTTGAAAAGACCGGCAAATACCGTCCCGTCCCATGATTTTGCCAATTAAGTTGCATGCAGGAGTGCTTGTGCATATAATTAGGTATCATGTGTATGTACAGGTACCTAAAGGTATGTCTGAGCCTAGGTACCTTAGGTTAGTGTCCTCCCTAACCATTTTGTACATCGCGATTGCATATTGGTGTCCTTTTGTGTCACAGTGATTCTCCAAGCTAAGGCTGCAAGACATCCACCATCGCATCCGAATTTTGCAATTAAATCACTATACGAGACTATGTTTGAGAGCAAATGGGTACTACCCATTGCCCACATCACACGAGAATAAGCGCCATCTGAGGATTGCACGACCCCTCCCCTCATAAGGGTTACATTTCCAGATGTCAAGCATTGCGCACACCGCCCTGTCCTATGGTATGGCATAATAGCTCTTGCGATAAGCATGAGATAATTCCACCGTCCCCAAGAAAAGGAAGAAGAGAAAACTCATAACAAGCAGAACTCGACCCACTGCCGGAAAGGGGGGAAAGGACGAAGGCGAGGAGGGGAGGAAAGGGGGGTTGCACCACATCGTACCGTACGAAGTGAATTGCCTCAGGCCCGCCCTTTTCCAAGGACAAGAAATACATTGCGCGAAATAGACGACTCTAGCCGCGCTGAATCGGCGAATGCCGCTACTCATTTCATCAAGGCCTTACTTACTGGGGCGCCCGTACAGATGACTACCTAGGTACCTTACAACGTATTTTGCCCGTAAAACGGTGGGTCTTCCCAAGAATGATTAGTAACGCAAGTACCAACCTATTTTGTATGTAAGGTACCTTACCTTACACTTCAAGTACCTACCGAAATACACTGGTATAGGAGTAGAGAGTTGATTAAAGGGCAAACACGAACTGCAGCACTAAACCACCACAACAACTATCACAACAACTACCACGACCCTACTTCCTTAGCACTTCCTCAGAACAGCCAGCACTGCCTCTATTCACTAAATATCACGTGTGAGGTCTGGATAGTTAAACGTGAGGTCTCTCCATAAAGCCCCTATTCCTTCCCTTCCCAGGCACGAACCGGTCCAGGGAACCCCTACGGCGTGAGGTGGTTAAGTTCGCCAGATTTCCATCCGTGACGATGTGGCTGGCCGCTAAGTTCCCAGCAGCCTGGGTCAAGACTTTTGGGCGAGAATTCCTACCCAGTCCGACCCTTCTCCACACTACTTCTTTTTGGCCAGGCGCGGCTTCAAACGACTGGCATGAGAGGTGTGGTCGGTCGTCTTCTAGAGCAAATGCTGTAGCACCAGAAATCAGAGCAACTTACGTTATACACCAAGGTTCAAACACTCGCTGCCCTCACAACAGCTATGGGATTTGCGTCATTGTGGGGGTTCAAAAAAAGGGGGTGAGGGGAGAAAATAAAGTAAAACAATAAGAAGAAAAGAGTGAGAAAGAAAAGAAATTAGTAAGGGGGACTTCGTTCAGCCTTTCGGTGTTAATGCCCAGTGACGCACTAACATCTCCATACTCAGGTACTTCGTGCGAACTCGTTCGTACGGCTGCAATTCCCAGATATCTGGTTCGACTCTTTCCATCGGCCTGTCCAGATCAAGCAAGCCAACATATTCCACAGCCAACGCTCATCTTACTACAATGTACGAATAAACTGGCTCATCCTAGACAAACAAGCCTGGGGTCCTTTGCTAGTCCCGAGTCAGATGATCACCTTTCCATGCTGGGCCGTGCAGGTTGTCTAGTGTCTAGTGTTGTTGGTTCTTGACTGTATGGAGAGTAATTATTACCCATCTGAGTCCCGGATCTTGTCCGGTTCTCCGGGGAGGGAACATACGGGATACCGCTACTCATACCGGTAGCTATATTACCAAGTGGGACCAAGTAAACACCTTGTAGGGATGAATTGTTCTTGATGTTGTCAGAGGACCCGGCAAAACATTTTGCTTTGCACTATTAATTGTACCTATGGTTTGTTTCAGCTCTTTCTTCTTTGGGTTATACATTCCGAGCACGGGTAGCACGTACACGTACAAGGGAGAACGTGCATTACTCGTATTTACTCCGTAGTCCAAGACAATGCAAGCAATACGGGAAGATGGTCGGTCGAAGAAACAGCACATCCATCTCCTGTCATCGCCTCGGCCGTTATCTCTCGCCCCGGTCTCAGCGCCCCCTATTCAACCTTTCTAGCGATAATTACGAAGTAATGATGGTGTCGAAGGGAGACGGGAGCGCGTCTCGGGTAGCCTCTAATAATTCCCCTGCATCCGACGACGTCTAAGAATTTGGAGATCACTTATCGGACCTATAAACTGCTACCGTTGTTGACCGTGCCTGTTTCGGGCTGGACAGGGTTGACATGGATTTGTACCTCGTATTGTACGGAGTATCCGTACCTTAGGTAGGCAGCATACATAATTCACATTTTAAGACCCTGCTTGTTTGATCAGGTAATCCAAGCACCCATGTTAAGAAGTTTCCATCTTTTTGATGATTTGCTGACATACACATTAAGATTTTGCGGGGGGGCGACGACGCGTTAATTACAAGGTAGATAAAGCACAGTGCCTTTGGCTTAAGTGGTGGGTTAATACGGTAGGGTAACTACGTGGGGCTGATGCATCGATGCGACTCCAAAGGGAAATCGTTGTGATGTCAGACTACCGAATTGTTATAAATGGTATTTCCAACACCAACACCACTTATCTCAGGGCCGCTTCAATCAGCGGATTTTATGTGATGGACAACCCAGAGATTATAGTTGGAAAACGGATGGCTACATAGGATGACAACAACAACTTGGGCCCTTGCCCCAGCTTCAAAGGAGTTTCGTTCATGTCTATGTTCATCACTGTATGTAGTCATATGCCCATCCCATGCGTCCTAAAGTGACCTGCGAATGCAGAACCCCCGAAACGGCCCGAGACAAACGATTTAACCATCCATCGGTACATCGCTTGCACCCATGGCCCCAACGACCCTGGATATGAAACTCTCGGCCATGCTGGCGGCCTCGCCACGGGCGGCCTCAATCCTAGCCTCCTCAATGCACTCCAGCACCGTCTTGATACCGATGCCTACTTGCTTTGAACCCGTCTCGGCGGAGATGGTGTTGATGATTTGGTTGACTTCGCTGGCGTCGAACGACCCGCTCTCGACGAGAACGCCCTCGAGCTCGCGCAAGTCCATCACGGCAGGGACAGGTACCTGGCGACGACCGAACAGCTTCATGACGCCCAGCATCTTGAGGACGGTGAGTTCCGAAGTCGTCACGAAGACGAGGAGACGCCGGCCCTGGAGATTCCGTGGTGTTAGCACATATATCGAATTCTCCTTTTGACCCTTCGTACCAAGAAAAAGAAAGTCTCGGGGGTAACGTTGGCCAGAAGTAGTGAAGAAAGGCAAAAAGGGGAAAAGGAAAACGAAGAGATATGATGCTCACCTTAGGAGGCTCCGACTGAATCAGAGACATGAGCCGGTCGAGAATGGTGTTCGAAAAGCGCGGGCCGATGGGATTCCACTCAATAAGCTGCTCAAAGTTGTCGAGAATGAGGATACTGAGCGGCGACTTGTACGCATCCGAGAAGATTTTGGAGAGATAGTCTTTCTTCCCGAACTCGTCCCGGAACACCGTGAGGTTCTGCGGCGACACAAGTTTGACAAACGGGTACTCGGAGCGCATGGCGATGTGCGCCGCCAGGGCCGTCTTTCCGGACTCGGGTGGCCCGTGGAAAAGAACCGCCATCCTGTTGAGGACATGGGAATCCTTGAGGGTGTTGACGTAGCTCATGCCGGTGCGGATGACGTCCTCGATGTGGCGACCGTACCGAATAATGCCCATCTTGACCGAGCGCTCCAGGTCATCTTCCGACACACCGTAGGCCGGCTTGACCTCGGTCAGCGCCGCCAGGAAATCCTCCATCTTGATCTTCATCGACGCAACGTCCGACTTCATCTTGGCAAGTTCGCCCACCTCCGTGTGACGATTGAACGCAAAGGACGTCGCTGCCTTGACGACGCCGGCAATTTCGGCGCCGGAGTAGTTCTTGGTCTGCGCCGCCAGCGTCGCGACATCGACGGCCGGGTCCAGGATGTCGTTGTCCCGCATCTTGGACGTGTGAATCAGGAAGATCTCTTTTCGGCCCTCCTCATCCGGCAGCCCGATCTCCAGCTGAACCTCCAGACGACCAGGTCGTAACAGGGCCTCATCGATCATGTCCTTCCGGTTGGTCATGCCGATGAGGAGAATGTTATTTAGCTGATCCACGCCATCGAGCTTGGTCAGCAACTGGTTGACGACACTGTCACCCACGCCAGTACCACCTCCAGCACCCGATCCTCGCTGCTTGCACACGGCGTCCAGCTCGTCGAAGATGATAATGTGGAGGCCGCTCTCATCACCCTTTTCCTTGAACTCCTTCTCGGCCTCGGCGAACATCTTCCTGACGTTCTCCTCCGACTGGCCGACGTACTTGTTCAAGATTTCGGGTCCGTTGACGATTACGGGCTTCCTGGCGTTCAACATCGAACCGATTTGCCGTGCGATCAACGTCTTACCAGTACCGGGAGGTCCGTAAAGGAGAATACCCTTTACGTGCTGAATTCCAAGTTTCTCAACCAGTCTGGGGGGGAAAACACGGGAAGCGAATGCTCTTCGGAAGATGGTTCCGAACTCCTCGCCGAGACCACCGATGCCCATGTCCTCAAACTTGAAGTCCGGCGCAATGATGGCGTTGGTGTTGCCTCTATGTTCGGAGGCTTTCAGGTTGATCTCCGCCCCAGGCGCCTTGAAGAAGGCCATCCTGGTTTGCGGGGTGAGGATACCACGAGCATTGGGGTCTCTGGACGTGGCCGTCCCGGAGGGGTCGGTCATCAAGTCAAGATTGACCACACCGACCGTCTTGACGACTATAAGAAGCGGTATGTTGTTGACATCCATCAGAATCCTCTCTCCCGGGGCTAAGATCTGGTTGCCGTAGGTCTTGAGGAACCGCGGCGCCAGTTCGTCCTCGTCATATGTTTGGGACGACGACCTCTTCGCGGAGGCGAAGCCCACCTCTACATCGACAGAGCCTAGGTAGACCTGGCCCCCTTGGCTGAAAGGATCGTATACTTCGCCGGTGAACTGGTCCGTCATGCCGATGTTGCACCATGTTCGCTGAGGATCCGACAAGCTGATAGCACCGGATGGGAAACCGTCGACGCGCTCGGCGGAGACGACGTACTCGCCCGCGGGTACACCACCTCGAATTAGGATGTATAAATCGGAGCCATCGGGGCTAGGAGGAAAGTCCATCGGTGATACGGCACACCTGGGAAGAGAGGTTGTCAGTAAAATAAGAAGAAGAAGAAGAAGAAAGCGTCCATCTGCGCCCCATCTGCACGTCTGCACGTCTTGTTCGCAGCGCGCGTCTTACTTACTTGTTCCTGTAAATCAACTGAGACTGTAGTGTCTTGTCGGCAACCTTCCCAACTTGCAAAGACACCCGACGACCACCGCCACCACCACCGCCGCCCCTTGGAAGCTGCGCGGGGGGTTTCTCGTAGCTTGACGACATTCCGGGTGATCGTGGAGGAGGTTGCCCGTAGCCCTGGCCGCCATAACCTTGACTCCCATAACTCTGGCCGCCGTAGCCTTGGCCATATGGATCTCTAGGGGGTTGGTCTCGCGAGGGCATTGCTCTCGGGTTGGCACCAGGCAAGCCCATCCTACCCTGACCGTATGGAGGGGCTCTTGACATGGCCGGAAGGTATGACGTGGATTAAAGGTGGCGGCCGCTGGGGGTAATATAGAGACGAGGCGCCGAGGACGAAAGATTGAAGGAAATCCAGACTAATCTATGGTGTTGCTGAAGATCTATGAAAAGATGTTTTGAGCGGCCGTCTCCGGATTCGGAGTTGGGATGTAGTTGTTGAGTTGAAGTTCTGGTCTCCTTGCTTACGGTATTGGGCACTCCGGTACGTTGACAGTTGGCATTCTGGTACGTACCTCCCAGACTCAATGGTGTTTCGTCAGTTGTGACGTTCAGTCCGAAAGCAGCTTAGCGGGACTGGTGGCGGATCTGGGGATACCTTACCGGCCTCACCTGGTGGGGGGCAAGAATTCTGTCCCAACTCACTCACTGCCCTGCGCTCCGTACCTTACTTCGTACACTCCGTGTGAAATTACTTTCAATTCCGAGTTCTAATCCGGAGTTCTACCTTACTAAGTAAGGTAGTAAAGGGGCTATCGTTAACTGGTATCCGTATATTATCTCGAGCCAGGCTTACCTCTGTTCCCCATCCAACTGTCATCGAATATACGTGTCAAACATTTATGAAAATAAGTTGTTTGACCTTGTGCTCGTCCGACTCATCTAAATTCCAATCTGCCACAAGGCAGACGTTAAACCATCATGCCTCTGTAAGCCCCTCCTAAGTAATGTGTTCCGAAATAACCAAGATAAATGCTGATTTTCTTAGTCACCTTCTGGGCAAGAAGTCGTGGAACGTCTACAATGCCGACAACATCGCCCGCGTCCGGCGCGACGAAGCGGCCGCGAAAGCCGCCGAGGAGGCCGAGGAGCAACGCATGCAAGAAGTCGACGCAGAGCGCCGGCTAGCCATTCTCCGCGGCGAAATGCCCCCGCCGTTACCCCCATCCAGCTCCAAATCCGGGCCCTCGGATGCCAACGAGACCCGGCTGCGCGGGGCCGAGAGGCCACCAGGGGCAGAGGGTATAGGTAGAGAACGCAAGAAACGCAAGCGCGTAGGCGAGGACGATACGGACTTCGAAATGCGCATTGCGAAGGAGCGCGCTGTCGTCGCTGCTGGTGACGACAACGACGACAACGCAATCCCCGTCCGGCGGAGCAAAACTAGCGATGCGCCCCTCGTGGACCGCAGCGGGCACATCGACCTCTTCGGCGCGGCACGGGAACATGCCGTCCGGTCGCAGAAGAACGAGGAAGCGGAACGGGAGGCTGCGAAGAAGAAGCGTGAGTTGGAGGATCAGTACACGATGCGCTTCGTGAATGCGGCGGGCAAGGACGGCCTATCGGCGCCGTGGTATTCGAAAAAGGCAGACGTGGGAAGAGGTGCCGACACTGGGATGACACTTGCGGAGGACCAGGGGAGGGATGTATGGGGAAACGAAGACCCTGGACGGAAAACGCGTGATTCTGAGAGGATAGTGGCAAGCGACCCGCTCGCCATGATGAAGAAGGGCGCTGCTCGAGTGAGGGAGGTGAAGAAGGAGAGAGCAAATTTTGAAGAGGAACGACAGAGAGAACTGAAAGAATTGCGCCGGGAAGAGAAGCGAAGGGAGAGGTATGAGAGACGAGAAAGACGGGACAGGGATGAAAAGCACCGCAACTCGGACGGAAAGCACCGGGATCGCAGAACGAGACCCCGACACAAGGGACGACGAGGAGAGACAGCGGCGTAGCCACCTCAAGCTGTCACGCCATGATTAATTATCCCCTTTCTACAATGATACCCCTCTTTTACGTCTTCTTTAAGGCACCCATGCCGGACACATGGACTTTGGCTATCAAACTAGGCTTCCAGAAACGAATGGCTCCGATAGTACTTTGTCCCCATGGCCGAGGGAAACGCATCACACCACCCAGCACCGTACGTCATCTCTGAGGCTGAGCACATAAAGCATAGTTGGGCTATGGGGTCATAGAATCTTACTGCTGCACACCTGGCCCTGGAGGGGAAGGTGATAATGATCCAACGCACATGAACAGCCGGGCAAGGTTGGCAAGCTGACTAATTGCTCCAGTTCCTCGAGAGAAATTCATGGACCTCAATGCCCGTAGTCGGGTGTCGGGAATTGTATTGCGAAGTACGTACAAAGTAGCGTAGAGAGCCTGAAGAGTGTTCGAGTACGGATACAGACCGAAAACCCGCAGGGTGCAGATCAGTGCCGCGGTCCATATGTGGAAAAGAGAACAAGGCCAGAAGGATGAGTAAGGTAATCAAACGTGACGTGCGTTCTTGCCTACCTTAAATTGGCAGAGCCGTTGCGGCGATAGGGACATTTGGAGAGTCGAGAGAACGACATGCCCCGTACCAGCTGTGTACTCCGTACCTAGGGAGCACTGTATCAGTACGAAGTAAATACTACGTAATTGTTAAGGAATATGATTATACAGAACCAGAACAGAAGCTTCACTTTAGTCAGTACGACGTACTCCGTACCCACGTGCTGTCACTGAAGCGACGAGGTTGCCCCGCACGGCTTTTCGTCACCCCGGACAATGAACAGGGCTTAGTCAAGACATAGCCCCATCAAAAGCCGGATGGTAAGGCTTCATGATTGGACGCATTCCCCCAGGGTAGGCTCAGTACGCATCCGCCAAGACTGCCGAGAAGATACGAAATACGGGGGTGGGCTCTTGCGTCACCCCAGTATTAGTGTACGACTGAAACACCTTAAGACTGGCACTGATTATTACCTGTACTCTGTAAATTCGCGACGAGTACAAATACACGCTGCTGCCCCGCAAACTTGTCCCATTGATCTTTTCAAGCCATCCGACTACCTAAGATAGGTATCCGATATACAGGGGTTCCAAAACAAAGTCCAATTCCGACTTGGCATGCCCAATCTTGCTCCCACTGAGAGCAACAACACCAACTACACCGCTTCCAGCTCTCGACCGCTCTCGCCCACAGTCATCATGAGCGCCCCCGCGTACGCCGAGCAAGGCTCCTCCTCGGGCAAGGCGCCCGCTGCCGAGCAGGACACTGCCGATGGCGGCTTCAAGCCCCAACAACCCATGGCCGTCCAGCCTCCGAGGAAGGATGACCTCCAGCGCAGCTATGCCACTGTTGTTGATGCCGAAGCCAATCCCAAGGGCTGGTATGGCACAATGAGTACGAAGCCTCTTCACCGTCTCTTGCGCACCCCGCTCTATCGTCGTGTTGTTAGGAGGCCATTTTCGCTGACCTGGTCAATTTTGTTTCCCCCCTACAGTCAACGCTGCCGGTGCCGTCATTGGCACTCTTGGTGCCTTCCCATGCTGTGTCATCTGCCCAAACCCCTACAAGCATGTTAACCAGGGCCATGTCGGTTTGGTTACCAAGTTTGGCAAGTTCTATCAGGCAGTCGACCCTGGTCTGGTCAAGGTCAACCCTCTCAGCGAGAAGCTTATCACCGTCGACGTGAAGATCCAGATTGCCGGTAAGACCTCTCTCTTGGAAGCTCCCGAAGGCCCCCCCCCCCCCCTTCGTACAACTCGACAGCTGTCTAACCCGAGTCTCCTACCGCAGAGGTCCCCCAGCAAACCTGCATGACCAAGGACAACGTCACCCTTCACCTCACATCCGTCATCTACTACCACATCGTCTCTCCCCACAAGGCCGCCTTTGGTATCTCCAACGTCCGCCAGGCCCTTATTGAGCGTACTCAAACCACACTCCGCCACGTCCTCGGTGCCCGCATCCTCCAGGACGTCATTGAGCGCCGCGAGGAAATTGCCCAGTCCATCGGCGAGATCATCGAGGATGTTGCCGCCGGATGGGGTGTTCAGGTGGAGAGCATGCTGATCAAGGACATCATCTTCAGCCAAGAGTTGCAGGAGTCTCTTTCCATGGCCGCCCAGAGCAAGAGAATCGGGGAGAGCAAGATCATTGCCGCCAAGGCCGAGGTACGCTCTTAGAAAGCATCCCTTTTTCTCCGCTGTTGTTGTGCAAATGTCTCGAACTTGAAATGACTGACACAAAACCCCTTAGGTCGAAGCCGCCAAACTCATGCGCCAGGCTGCCGACATCCTCTCGTCGGCGCCTGCCATGCAGATCCGCTACCTCGAGGCCATGCAGGCCATGGCCAAGTCGGCCAACAGCAAGGTCATCTTCCTACCAGGCGCCAACGGCGCCGGAGCCATGCCGGAGGTGGGACAGAACTTCCACGCCCCCAACACCACAGGCGAGTCCAGCGGCTCACGGGACAACGCGACCTTCAATGACTTTGGAGGTCACGATCCCGGTTTCCAAACTGCCATGAACGCTCGCGTTGTCGAGAACATTTAAAGAAAAAAAAGGGTGTTCCCCTGAGTAATGAGTGCTGGCTGACCTGGAGGATCCTTCTCCGCCAACCTTGGAAATGCATTGTCACACTCTGGATTTTCCAACCGGTCATGATTCATTCCCGATAACTGCTGCTCTATTTGTCCTGATTTTCAACAGTCCAACGTTGCCTTGGTGTTCAGCCGTTGAGACACCACTAATTCGGTATGCCTTCAACGCATGCGCCCAGCCACGACATCCTCGCGAGGTCCTGTTTTTCCTCCTTTTTTTCCTGCTTTCTTTTTTCTTTATTATTTTCTTGTCATGTTTCGACGCACTTACTACTTCTCTGATATCCACTATACCCCTCGGCAATTCATTGGCTGAAACGACGGCGATGGAGAGTTGAAGGATACCCGTGAGCAAGTGGGCTACGTGTATGAGGGGAGGACATGGGGCAAATATGAACCGGGAATGAATGAAGAAAATGGAACGAGAAATAATACCTGGGGTGCTTTGGTTCAGGGACGGGACGAGGAAGCCCCCGATGGGATTTTTATGTACGGTCAACGTCAGGACATGTTCTATACCCTTCATTCGTTTCCTGGCTTCTTGTCTTCTTTTATCCATAGTTAACTCGTGAGACTGAAATTGGCGGGAGCCTTTCTGGGACGTGCTGCCTGTTTACTATCTGAAACGACCGCTATCTTGCCTCAAGATCTCTCCCCTTTCTTCATATCGACTCGACTTGGTGACAAGAGGACGTTCTACGTGTAGGTACCTATCTTCCCGCTCAAAAGACAAAAAGTAATATTCGTGTCCAAAACGCCAGCGCGACGCCCAAGCATGGCTGATCATCAAAACCCGTCAAACTCATCCTCCTTTTTGTCCTCGTTCTCGGTCTGGTTCCGCCGTCTCACCTCCTCGATCAGCTCCTTCAACTCCATGGACTTGACCTTCTCCTCCTCAGTCATGTTCTGCTCCCGCTCCTTCTCGCGGCGCTTGTGCCTCTTCTCCCGGCGCACGGTCCGCAGTTCCGCCCTCTCGTGCTTGTCGCTCCAAGCCTCGGTGTTCCGCCTCTTCCTCTTCTTGCGCTCTTCGTCTTCTTTCCCGTCGGCGGCGGCGGCGGCGGCGGTGCCATTGCGCTCGGCGTCGAGGGCCTCCAGCCGAGCCTTCTCGCGGACCTTGTCCTTGTAGGCGAAGGCGTCCCAGTCGGTCTCGCCGAGGCCGAGGGTGCGGTCGCCGTCCCAGCTCCGCAGCTCCGGCATGGTGGGGAGGCGGAGGAGGCCCCAGGCGCGGCCGAGGTCGGCCCAGTCGAGGTCCTGGATGCGGAAGATGGACGAGGTCTGGTGGGCGGCGTAGCTGCGGACCCAGCTCACGAAGGCGCGCTGGGCCTTGTCGTGGTAGGCGCGGTCGCTGCGGAGGATGGAGCGGATGGTGGCGGTGGCGGCTTCGGCGTCCTCGGCGGTCACGGACACGTGGGGTTTGGGGAGGGGTTCGATCGGGGTCTTGCGGATTTCGAGGAAGGGGACGTAGTCTTCCTCGCGGCCCGGGTGGAGGAAGACCACGGCGAGTCCTTTACGGCCCGCACGGCCGGCGCGGCCGGCGCGATGGATGAAGACTTTGGGGTCGGAGGGGGGGTCGACCTGGCAAACGAGGTCGACTTGGGGGATGTCGAGGCCGCGGGCGGCGAGGTCGGTGCAGAGGAGGATGGAAGGGGAGACGGCGTTGACGAAGCGGGCGAAGCTCTTTTCGCGGGCCTTGGCTGGGAGCTTGCCGTGGAGAGGCACGAGGTTGTAGCCGGACGGGAGGAGGCTGGGGAGGACGTGCTGGAAGTAGTCGACGGCGGCGCAGGTGGAGAGGAAGACGATGCTGCGCTGCGGGCGGGGCTGGAGCTTTTCGACGAGTTGCGCAAGGGCGGGCAGCTTCTGGCTCGCGGGGATGACGAGGTAGGACATTTGTAAGCTGGCGGGGATCTTGCGGTCCTCAATGACGTTGCCGTCTCTGAGGCTCTTGACGCGCACGGCGATCTTGACGGGGTTGCGCAGGCCGACGGTGATGATCTGGGAGACGGCCTCGGACACGGAGGCGCTGAAGAGGCCGGTGCGACGCTGTTTCGGGAGGCGCGATAGGATCTTCTGCAGGTCTTGGCGGAAACCCATGTCGAGGATGCGGTCGGCCTCGTCGAGGATGAGCATCTCGAAGGTGTTATGGGGGCATCGGACCTGCGGGGCGGCGAGGAGCTCGACGAGACGGCCGGGGGTGGAGACGAGCACGTTTGGGGCGTGGCGGACGAAGAAGCTGAGGTCTTGCTGGGTGGTGGTGGTTCCGCCGACGAGCAACTGCGGTACGATGACGGGTACGGTGGAATCCGGTCTCTTGCTGTCGTCGTCTTTCAGGTAGGGGGTCATCTCGGCCGAAGGGCCATGGAAGGCGACGAGGCTGGAGAGGACGGAGTGGATTTGAACGGCAAGTTCGCGGGTAGGTGACACGATAATGGCGAAAACATGGCCGCGTTTTATCGGCTCTTCTAGGCGTACAAGTTTCTGAACGAGAGGTAGGAGGAAAGCGAGCGTCTTGCCGCTACCTGTTACGGCCTTTGGCGCAGCAAGTCAGGACGAGACATAGAGTAGAGTGTAGCGGCGAACGTGGAGCGCAGATGGAAGACATACCTCAACGACAACGTCCTTATTTCCTAAGAACTGCGGTACACAGGCAGCTTGAACCGGAGTCATCCGTTGAAAGCCCTGACTTGAGACGAAGTCGAGGATCCATCTGGAAAGGCAACAGGTTAGGCTTGAGTATGCGGTGGCTGGGAGAGGCAAGAGGCAGAGAAGGAGGGGGAGGGAGAAGAGCGACTGCTTACTCCGCTAGAGGAGGGGTGAGGCCGCGCCAATCTCTTGGGTCTTTCTTCTTCTCAGCCGGGGCCATTGCGTTGTTTGAACGGTCGATGGCCTCTACAATTAATTCCAGTATACGAAGATGCTCACGGGAACTGCATCCATTCACATTCTCGTTTCTTGCGCATCAATCGAAACTTTTTCCCCAGGTGGTTATCTTATCGTTTGTTTGTTACCTTATCTTATCCTGATTAGATCAGAAGAAATACCTAGGTACTTTTCAGAAGTTTAGAGGATCAGTACCTACCTTGGTAAGACCCCGTACCCGTACTAGTACCTTAGGTACGTACGTAGGTACGAATACTAAAGTAACGTTCTCTCACACAGCCCAAGCCAAGCCTCTTTCGGTGTCACACGACAACAGCACCGACTGATCGACCTGTTCTTAATGCTGGGAGCGGCCAGACTACCACAAAACGAAGTCATCCGGTCTTCTACATACGTGTTTATTGTGTAAATCATTTGTTTCTGTCCCGTCTTCGGATTCAAAGCCGAAAGGTTGACATCTTTATCATCTTTAGCATCTTCGATCTGACATCACTACGCTTGCACCCTTGCACGAATGAGACTACATGTAAACTGATATCCAACTAGGAGGCTGAGCTGAGGGTAGGTGTGGGGGGGTGGCTGGGAAAAGTTAAGCTGAGGGTAGGTGTGGGTCTGCTTTCTGATTAGTCACCCTAGGGAAATATCGTCTCTCCTAGCTTTACGAGTCGTGTCGTAATATATTAACGTGTTTTTCCCCCTTTTTTCCTAATACGCCTAATTAATTAGTTAAACTATTTCGCGATTATATTAAATATATTATAAGGGGTATTTCTATTAAGGGTTATTATATTACTTATTATAAAGAGTGCTTTTCTATGAGTACTAAAAGGAACTTGTATATTATTATAAAGAGTATTTTTCTTTTACTTATTATAATAGTAGTTACCTAAGATACTTAGTTATATAACCTTAATAAATAAGAGTATTACTCTCCTACCTATTATAAGGGTAATTACCTAAGATATCTAGGTATATAACCGTAATAAATAAAAGAGTTTCTCTTAACTATTATAGGGGTAGTTACCTAAGATATTTAGTTATATAATCTTAATAAATAAGAGAGTTTTTCTTCTATTTATCATAAGGGTAGTTACTTAAGATATTTAGTTATATAACCTTAATAAATAAGAGAGGTTTTCTCCTACTTATTATAAGAGTAGTTATCTAAGATATTTAGTTATATAATCCTAATTAATAAGAAAGTTTTTCCCCTATTTATTATAAGAGTAATTACCTAAGATATTTAGTTATATAACCTTAATAAATAAGAGAGTTTTTCTCCTATTTATTATAAGGGTAGTTACCTAAGATATTTAGTCACGTGACCTTAATAACTAAGGGTGTTTTTCTCCTACCTATTATTCGTGTGGTTACCTAAGAACTTTAGTCACGTGACCTTAATAAATAAGAGTATTTTCTCCTACCTATTATAAGGGTGGTTACCTAAGATCCTTAGTCACGTGACCTTAATGAATAGCCCCATAGCAACCCTCAGCTCAACTTTTCGCCCTACTCGGACCCAGACCTACTATCAGCTTAGCCATAGTCTTCAATATCAGTTTATCTGTAACCTCGCACGAATAGCCTCTGCTACGTGTACATAACGAAGCCCAGCTAACTAAGTGGGGGTTAACCGCTTAGCATAAGGAGGTTTAAAAAAAAAGAAAAAAAAAGAAAAAAAAGAAAAAAAAGGCTACGGAGTATTGCCGCAGACGCTTGGGCCGCTTTGGTGGGAGGGGACCCCGGAAAGCGACAAGGAGAAAAAATTCCCTTCGGACTCTTAGACTGTCCGTTGGTACCTACATACCTGACCTACATACTTCTATCAGCAGCCCGGCATCCAACAAAGTCTCTCTACCTACTCCGTACTTCCCGGCAGTCCCGATAGCAACTGACGAATCCTCCGCTTCCTCGCTCCTCTTCTCTTGTTATCTCAAGCCACCAGTGGCGCAATATTCCCTACCTTGGTTGGTTCGCAGTTCGTTCCTCTTCCGACTCCACCGGCCTCGAAGACACACGACTCGAACAACGGTTGTTCCGCAAAATCCGACCGCCCCATTCACATACATCCTCTTATCCCCACCCTCCTTCCCCTCGGGCTTTATCTCAGGAGGCCGCATGTTCGCCGTGGCTTCCTTGTCCGTGTCCGAGTCCGCGTCCGCCGTCGTGTCCCCGTCTGTGTCCCTCCCATCGAACGACCCGTTGGGACCATCATGCGGCAGAGGCCTACTCTGCTGCATCCACTTCAGTCGCCATCACGCTGGATCCGATAACCGACGCCGCGTCCATCCTCCACTCGCAGCGTCATAGGCGCCAGAACCGTCTTTTCGATTTTCTCTTCGGTGAACGGCCCAGCAGTGGCAGTAGCAGTGGCAGTGGCAGTGGCAGTGACAGCAGCGGCTCGGCGCCGACGCGTTCCTCGAGGAAGGACAGACATCTCCACTCTCTCTTTTGGCCCTTTCGTTTCTTTTCTTTCCAGCCCTGTCTCGCCGGGCCCTTACCCTCGCCTGCCCTCCCGCCTTTCCCCTACGACATGTCTACCCGAAGCAAGCAGGCCGCCTCGCGCCCAACACCCGCCACCCCGCGCGTCGTCTCCCCGAGCCCGACGCCTTCCGAGCTACAAGAGGCAGCAGCAGCGTCGTCACAGGACGGCTACGCAGGCCCGACCACGCGCTCGGTTGCCCGCAGGCGGAAAGCGACATCACATCCGGTCGAGGAAAGGGAGGGGGACGAAGATGAGGACTCGGATCCCGTCGAACTGAGGAGAGCCCGCACCCGAAGCCGGTCTCCCATGGAGATGCGGAAGATCGCCCCGATGACGACTTCCGGCAAGAGTAAATCTCCCGTACTTCCGAGCGAACCTATTCCCAGCGCTGTCGGTGTCGGTATCGCCGCGCCCAACGGCAGCACGAAGGCTTCGGCTCTCCCAACAAAAACAAACGGCCATCTCGCCGTCCCCTCGGCCGCACCGTCCGGCTGGAGCTGGCGCGACTTCAGCCGCAGCCCCAGTCCGCTCGGCCTGATACCCATCCACCGGAAATGGCGGACCTTCGTCCACAGGCACGAGGTGCCGAGGAAAGTCCTCCACGTCTCCATCGGCTTCTTCACCATCTGGCTCTACGTGTCGGGCACCCGGACCGTGGCCGTCGCGCCGTGGCTCATGGCCGCGCTGATCCCCATCGCCGCCACCGACTACCTCCGCCACCACTTCGCCGGCTTCAACCGGTTCTACGTGTCCGTGCTCGGGGCGCTGATGCGCGAGAGCGAATACGCGGGCTACAACGGCGTCATCTTCTACCTGCTCGGCGCCTGGATCGTCCTCTACTTCTTCCCCAAGGACGTCGGCGTCATGGGCGTCCTCCTCCTCAGCTGGTGCGACACGGCCGCCAGCACCTTCGGCCGCCTCTGGGGCTGCTACACCCCGCGCATCCGCCGCGGCAAGTCCCTCGCCGGGTCCCTCGCGGCCTTCCTCGTCGGCGTCGGCTCGTCCGCCTTCTTCTGGGGGTGGCTCGCCCCCACCATCGGGCCCATGCCCGGCGACGAGACCTTCATGTTCCGGAACGTCCTGCGGCTGCCCGAGGTGGCGTCGCACGCCCTGGGCTTGTCCGGTGCGCAGGCGGCCATCACCGGCTCCTTGGCGCTGGCCGTCGTGAGCATATGGAGCGGCTTCGTGGCTGCCGCTAGTGAGGTGGTGGACCTCTTCGGGTGGGATGATAACCTCACCATTCCCGTGCTCAGTGGCCTGGGCATTTGGGGCTTCCTCAAGCTTTTTGGCTGAGTTTTGTGACCTTGTGCACACTTTTTGTCACTGCTCCGTACACGGCAACAGATCCATGACGAGACTAGACGAGACGAGACGAGACGAGACGAGACAAAATGAGACGGGGGTCGAGTGGGTGGTTCACAGTGCTGGGCGATATTGGCTAGAACTCGGGTCAAGACTAGAATGGAACCACATCCCTTGTCTTCTCTGCATTTAACCGATCTCTGTGCATGCGGCTAGATCGACGGCAGGGCGTTATGCGTCCACGGGAGCCGCCGACCTTGCCCGGATCTTTCTATCCGTAATATCAAGCACACCGACAAGGTGAAACAGCACAAGACCGGTCAGTCAGGGAAATAGACGCTGAGGACAGGGTAGGTAGACGAGACAACATCACGACATGTACTATAGTTTCCCCCAATATATCTGACCTATTTAGACATGAAATTATTATTCTCCTCGAAATGCCGTGTACCATCGTCACCGTCGTTCAAAGAGCCTCCTCATCGAAGACGGTTCGTTACGCGGTGCGAGTTCAAACATCGACCAAACATCGACCAACCGGTTTCATCCGATGACGGCTGCGACAAGTTAAATATAGGTGGTCGTCTACGACGTAAAGCGGTTCAACAGCCAGAACAAGGGCATCATAAGGCGACGACGGTGCTGTATGTTGCCGCGAAAATTCCGGTTCGCACGACAGACGTTCTGTAACTGCCGAGATCTCGACCGTCTCGTATGGGACCCGGTATCAAGTTGCCTCGGATCGTATCTGAACCAAGAGAGGCTAAGCTTTGGATACGAGGAAACCTGGGCGCGGTATTACTTGTGTATCGCGTATACCGCGAGCTCATGCCAATACGACTTGGAAAGAAATGGATTTAAAGAGCTGTCCGTGGTTCAGGGCATCCGCTGTTTGGAAAGGAAGGTGGTGGGAAACACTTGTGCTTCTTCTGTTGCTATTCCGTTCTCGTATAATCGTATTCCGTCCGCGCATCGCAAAGCTCACGAGCCGACGTATTGCTTGTCCTCTACAGAATAAACACACCCAAGAAATTCTCTATGTGTCATCTATGTATCCGTGTTGTACTTTGTACGTCTTGTCGTCAACGTGACATCGCCTTTGTGGTCGCAGTTTGACAGCTTGACTAGAGCATCCATTGACAGCAAGCATCCTCCGTGGCGCAATTGGCTAGCGCGTTCGACTGTTAATCGAGAGGTTGGTGGTTCGAGCCCACCCGGGGGAGTTTGGTTCTCTTTTTTTCTGTTTTTCCTTTTTCCCCCCGGAGACTGCACACCCCGCTTATGCGAAGGAACTAGGTAACTAATTACGTAGAAACCTTCTACGTCAAGTCTGTCGATACACTTTACCCTTAAGGGGTTCTTAGCTTTTGGCGTGTTTCTGGCGATTCTCAGTCGGCTCCTCCCAATAGGATAGTGGAACGTCACCGAAAAATGCCGCCGTTGGTTCGAAGAATAATTGGCAGAAAAGGTTGAAAAAGAAAAGAAAACCCCCAGAAGAACATGCATCTCGGAACACCCCGGCCCTGCATTTCCTTTGACGACATCCATGTAAGTGCTCTAAGAGTGCATACAGCATACAGCATACAGCGTACAGCGTACAGCATACAGCACACATGGAACTCCCCCCGTACGTCATCATCTCGAGCGATGCAGACAGACATTTGTTTCAATCCTTCCCTCACTCCTTACCCCACGCCTTTCACAAACACATACATCTTTTCGTTGTGTCCAGTGGTTCAGGTCTGTGTCATCTGTCCTACCTACTTTAAAGATACACACGCCAGGACGCTGTAAGTCGGGTTGGGGTAAATATTAGGAGGGAGGAGGGGTCTGGCGTAGGATTCGCTTTACAGCTGCTAATAAGGCTCCAAGGTAGTTGACCATTCTTCTTTCCCAATGCTACACGCTCGCTCGGTATATCGGTGAGGCGAAAGAAAAATCTGCCGGGTTGGTACCAATGTTAGAAGACCGGGAACATCAGTGTTTGGCCGAGGTTGGAGGTGGTCTGTATCGAGAGCGAGAGGGGAAGAAAGTGCTTCTCATGACTTGCAGCCGATGACACACGCCTCGTACGAAATACCTTGGGTTCCTTGACGGACGAGCCTACTCGAATCATGCATCCAGTATGTGTTCAGTTACAGCATTAGGCCTATCTTCGTCTTTTGATGGACTGGGCTCCCTCCCACGGGTCCCCCGCAAGTTCAACCCTCCCCCTCTCCTTGCCAAGGACTTGAGGGCCATGAAATACGCAGTAGCTTAACATCTGGGCCCTGGGATCAATTTCATTGGCGGCTCCCATTCGCTACAACTGAGTCTAAGAAGGCCCCCCGCTGCTTCCAATGGCACAGCATAGTGGAATTCACTATTCCTTGTGGCAGAAGAACCCAAGATATGCATTGGCGTTGGTCAGTCAGACGAATACTATCTACAACAGATGACGGCTCGTTTGGATTATTGAATAGAGACCAATTTTGTTCCGCATTGGACAGGAATGATGGGAGTAACGGGAGATGGGAAGCCAGATATTCAACCGGAGCATGGAGATACTTGCAAGACCACACACACGACAAAGAATTTATGCCCACGCCCGTATCCACACCACCATTGTCAGACAAGACTTGGGCTGGTTCCGTTAAAAGCCCGATACTCTGGTTGGATCGCGTTGAGAACTGCTAAGAATGTTACTAGAAGGAACCGGGTCATGTGCTCTGAATAGCCTGCTGGCTGCTTGTTGTCGAGGACGATCTACAGACTACGGATTCATCTACGGCTTCCTAAACAGCCTCGATATCTGCCTTCAGCTCTTCCCATAGCTTCAATTATCCTAACGTCAGCCTCGTGACGACATTTACTTTTATGCCTCCTTATATAAAATAGGTGGAAGAGTACGGATTAGCAGCGTAATCTAATAATCGATCAAGATATAGGGCTAAGTTTTGAGCTAACGTTTCTAACCGTGGCAGAGGTGTATTATTATCAGTCTTACATGGGACCCATTACGTTGTACCTGTACAATTGTCTATTATATCCACAGAGCTCATTCGACATGTTCATAGTACCTATGGATGCATCTTCGATACGTTGTACATCTGCCCATTTCCCGACAACAGGTAGGGCCCCACCCGCCGATGGAATCCCTGCTTCCAGAATACCTCACGTCCAACACGGTTACACCGCTGACTGCAACCCCACTAGGCATCTCGTCCATCGGGGCCATTGGGCACAAGATGGACGATGTATAATAAACCAATGGAAATTCGACAAAATCTCCCGGGAGTGTACATTGTAAGGATATTGCGCAGTCGAGCAAAGAGACTGACTTGACTACCTTATGGGACGTGATCCAGTCGGTTAGGCCTCTATATTGCCGTCCGTCCGGTTCGGTTCCCAACCTGACAACGCATCAACACCACCAGCATCAGGTGAAGAGGGAAAGTAAATCGACGAAGACGCGGCTCCGGAGAGGATCTTGAGAGCCCGAGCTAACTGCTGCACTTCTGCCTAACCTGGCCTGACTTCGTTTTCTGCGCATGCCAGATCATCTACTCTTCCTACTACACCATCCCTCTTGACTCTAGTCCTCCAGGAAGCACGCCAGTCATCCGGGGATCCAGGTAATTCTCAGCCAAGGGACCAATGCCATCTCGCATCTGCATCTTTCTGTATGGGTTCTCGGGTGCTTCTGCAGCGCAGCTCCATTCCTGACATCCCGTGGTCCTGCGTCATGCCCATGCCCATGCCCAAGCCCACGCCCACCGTCACCACTTCTCCGTTCCCTCTCCGTTCCCTCTCCGTTCCCTCTCCGCTCCCTCTCCGCTCCTCTACTGCATACCCTCACGCCGTTCTGCCACCATGCAACTCTGGCCAACAAGAGACACTTGACGAAGGAGCTAGACCCACGCAACGTGAACCAAACGGCGCAGTATTCCGTCAACGTATTTGGACCATCCAATGTGAGTCGGCCGTTTTGTCTCCCGGCCGCTCCCTCCCTCTCTCCGCTCTCCGTTTGGACACCTGCTTGCGTCTAATGGGCCGCCCTCGACTCTTGCCATGGACGTCCCCTTTACCATGCTTGTCCAAGTCGACTTGGTCTGTATGTATCTCATCATCTTGTACTCTAATGACACCCCTTCCTTAACAGAGGGAGTACAACGTACTTACCATGCAAGACAAGCCGAGCCGAAGACCTGATCGGTACATGGCGTCCCTCAATGGAGATTTATATCACCCTGAGGTCTGTTCGGCCGGCTTCCTGACACGCTGCATCGGGCTTCTTCCTTACTGCCACAGTACGCAGGACACACCACTATGGCGCATATGTCTCGGCTCTCCTCAACTTGACTACTTCCACCCTCCCCTCTCTCCTCCAGTTCCAGGAACTCCCCCGTATAACTCACTACGGCTTCTTCTGGCTGTTTCTCCCACACGTTGGTTTATCACTCACTTTCCCACACCTCTTACCCCTTTACTTGCACGTTACTGCCCACCTATGCGCTCATAGACGCGGAGATGTTGCACTCGACACGGCCCATGGTAGACGGTAGAGAGGGTGTGGCTACATGTTCATTCCGAGTCTACCCCCAAACCCTACCCCTGTGCCACACGCGCCCTTCTCCCACAGAGCCCCACGTCCGCATGGCCGGACTACGCATGGCCGGACAGGACTCTGTCTACTACATTCCGACCTGGTCTATCCATATCATCGATCTTTCTTGACGTTTTCTTCTCTTCTCTCTATACGCACTCTCGCTCTCGCACTCCGTTTGCCTCTTTGAGAACACATCCACCTTCCACCATGGGACTGTCTATCCCAACACCTACCCTGATACTCGGCATATGCAGCCACCTGTCGGTCCCTTTTCCCCTGACCTTGCTATATACTGACCGGCTAATTTTCTCCCTTCGGAGTCTCCGTACTATGACCGACCCATTAGTTCTTTTGCTCGATACAGACGAACAGACGTCTTTCCGTTCTCGTGTCCGATGAACGAGTCCCTTTATCTCGTCCTTCACATGATGTCAGCGCCGGGCCCCAACTCCGTTTGGGTCTATTATACACCCCCTTCGGAAAGAGAAAGACGCCCGACTTAGACACCGACATGTTGGCTCTTTCCCTCTCTTTCTTTCTCTGTCTCTTACTGCTCTTACTGTTGAAATCTGGACAAACGGGAGCAGGGGTACACCCCGGCATCCAGACCCGCCTAATGGAAGCTGGTCTGTCCATAGTCTATCGCCCCCCTCCTCCTCCATATCAGCCGGGATCTCGCCCTCAGTCGTTCCGTATAACCGTGCTAGGACTAATCCATCCCTGACCTGCTCGTCCCACGAGCGGGGTCAATGATAGAAGATACCATGGACGAGGCCTTCTCGGCGAATTGAGCGTTGGCATGTCATCCCCCCCGGGCTCGAAATACCGGCCGGGGTGTCTCTGAAAAGTATAAAAGGGCAGATTTTGGCGGCTTGAGCTGGATTCAACCTTCCTTTCTTTTAATCTTCTTCTGTACTTTTCGGTACACTCGTCCAAGTTCACTTCACCCTTTTGCCGTACAGGTTGAGCATATCCTTCTCTGCCCAGTGTTCCAGCATCTACCGGTCTACAACCCCAAAGCAGCCTACCTCGGTATCAAGCTTTAGTCCAGGGCTGTTCAGCTAGATCTCCTCTCTTCATTATCCATACCCACATTCTATCTCCTACCTTCTGGCCCAGCATGTCGACTCAGTTTGTCCAGCCCTATTCACTCCCCATGCCCATCTCCTCCAAGGGACGTGAGCGCGACTACAGCAGCAGCGCCTACTCCGTCTCCCCACCAGAGGTCGACGAATCCGTCAGTTCAGGCACCGGTCCTTCCTATAGCCAGCCCAGCGGCTACTCCGTCGCCAACTCGAGCTACGCAGGCAGCCAGAGCGGCGACTTTGAGAGCGCCGCCTCCGCTTCCGGTGTCGACCTCAATGAGTATATGCAGGATCGTTTTGCCCAGTCCTTCGATCCCATCCCGCTAGATCGCAACATCGCTATCCAGGCACAAACGTGAGTTACTATTTCTCCACCGATTCTCCTTTTCCTGTGTGTTTTTCCGCATCGCACAGAACCACGAGACGTTAGCTGCTGACCTTGGGTATCCAACCGGCACAGTTCCGGCAAGCTCAACGCTAAGCACCGCGAACTCCTCGAACTCCAGCAAAAGGCACAAGCACGCCTCGCGAAGACTCGCGAGCGCTTCAACGAGGGCTACCGCGATGCGCAGGAAGTTCGCGCGGATCTCGAGTGGACGCAGAAAAAAGTCACGTAAGTTTTCTTGTCCAACCCTTCCGCCCTGGCGGGGCGAGAAAAAGAAAAGAACAAAAAAAAAAAAAAAAAAAAAGGCAAAAGTGACGTTCACTTTTGACTGACAATATCTGTAAAATTAGGAGCCTCAAGAACAAGGCGTCAAGGAAACATTCTAAAGAGTACAGCAAGGCCCGCGCGCGGTATCCCTCGCCAGACTCCTTCTAACCTTTTTCCTCGCGAGAAAATGTTCTTCGGCTGGCTCCCCACGACCCGTTCGGTCGGCTGCGCAGCGAGAAAGAGGTGTCGTCAAGTTGGATGATGTGCAGCTCGCAGCGGTCAGGGGTAAAGTTTGGGGAACAGCAGAGCCGCATTCCCGACCCAGCGGTTCGCCAGAACCTTCTAGCGTGTCTTATTTCCACCTTGGCTAAATGGGGAAGAGCGAGCTAAAGCGATTATCTTGCAGCTAGCTGCAGGAACCAGGAGATGATTTCCTATGTTCGACACATACACACCCCCTCCATCTTTTTTTTGGCAGTACATATATCCACTCACATACGGTTGGGCATGGACGGCGGGGTGCGGAACGGTGCGAGCCGAGGGAAGGCGGGGGGGCGGTTGGGTTGGGTTGGGTTGGGGTTGGACGGTTCATCGACAGGCTCGACACGCTGCATGCTGCAGAGCCCCTCTCTCATGGTCTCTAGCGGGCCCAGAACGTGGTTCCTGCGGCCAGTGGTCTGCTCTAGGCGGCAAGACGTGGCTCTCCCCATCCACCAACGGCCCGCGTTCCTGGGTCGTTTATGGGACGAGGGCCACAAGAACCGGGCAACGGAAGGGGGGGGCGTGCGCGTCAAAAGTGACAAAAAATGGGGGCAGCGTTCGGATTTCATGGCAGACTTATTATGGCTTATGATTGGATGACTGACGGTAACAGTGACGAGAATGGGAGGAGGCCTGCTTTTGTTTCTGCGCTAAAAGTACTCCAGCCTCCATCAGGGGTGGCCAAAAATGGAGGAGGAGGGGGGAAATTGGGTGGCCTGGCAAGCATCAGGGCTGCAGGAAGGAGACTGCTCCGCCTAGAGAGGCCTGGGTTAACATGGACCAGGTAGGCGGGAAAGTCGGGCGTTGGCGACGACATCGTGCTCTGGGTGGATGTGGGGGGGGGGGGGGGGGGGGGGGGGGGGGGGGGGGGGGGGGGGGGTACGCGGAAGTCTCAGATGGGGAGGGCGTATAATGTTTTTCCTACAAGAAACTCGTCCTATTCGCGGCAGAGGGAGGGTAACATACTCCTCTTTCAGGCAAGGGAGCATTCTCCAAGGACGGTGGAGGCCGCTCTTCCGCACCCCAGGGGTGTTCCCGCAGGCGTCAGGATGAATTCGGAATCGGTTTAGTTTAGTTCTCTGATAGGCGTACTAGTAATCAAAGGCGTCATGGGTTGAGGTCCCGGTGGTGGTCCCGTTTATGGCCTGTAATAAATGTATGCGCCGTTTTGCCTGATATAGGGATAGAACGTAGTGAGCCCGCCTCCTTCATTTCTTCGTTTACCCATCCACATGACACTCCAGGCCGGTGATTGGCTTGCAGGACAGCTGGGAAAGAGGAGAGCCATGTGTTAAGAGGCCAAAACCCCTGCTCGGTGTGTGTCCTTGACATTGACCGGTGGGTTATCACTGTGAGTGTCACGTGACGTCGGTGACTTGAGAGTCGTGGTGGGACGTGGTTCGGCGAAGGATCGTCATGGAGGAAGCCGCGTGACAACCCGGGTGGTGCTAAGGTCCGGCTAGGGTTCAAATGGGCTGGTCGGAGCTCATGACATGGGGCATCCAGAGAACTCATTCAGCCACACGGGTGCTTCTTGAAAGCCACGAGCCGCGACTCTGCAAACCCGCCTTCTTTTCCAATGCAGCCCAGGGGTTCTCGTTTGACGCGGGATCGTAGTAGCCCTCCCACCACGGCTTGCCGGGTTCTCTCCCCTGACCCTGTCCCCGGCCTTGTCTCTGAGGCATGGGGAGGGGTTGGTCGTGCCCATGTCCACCTTCTTGGCCGATATTTGGTAGCGAGCCTTGATTCTGGCCCCATGAAGGACTCGGACGGTTGGGTAGCGTGACGCCGCTATTACCAGGTGAGCCCCCGGGAGGAAGTGAAAACGAATGTACCGCTCCTTCGTTCGTGCCGGTAGATCCGTCGCCCCCATGGCGCGCAACGATTTCGTCGATCAAAGCTTGTGCTTTCGCCAGAGCGGGGGCCTTGAGGTGGTCGCCAGTCCCTTCTTCGACGTCGGGGTAGAGTATGGCACCTCCATTTCCACCTTCCCTTTCCCCGCCATTGTCCTCGTCTTCGCTCTCGTCGAGGTCAATCTCCTCGGTGTTCTGTGTCGCCGCGTTGTTTGAACCAGGTATGGAAGCAAGAGCTGCCGCTGTGGTTGTGAATGAATTGTCTGTCGTATATACAACGGCGGATGCATTGGCGCCGGTTGCTGGCGAGGCGACAACTGCGTCGACGTTGGGGTTATGCTTGCGACGTTTGGATGGGTGGGAGGAACGATCTTGTGACCCGAAGCTGGAAAAGCCCATCGATTGGGCTAGAGCTGCGGTTGTCGCATCATGTTCCTGATCCGCAATAGCTGCAGTGAAATTCATGGCGTGAGGGGGAGCAACGGGATGAGGTTGTTAGGGAGGAGGAAAGGCGGTCATCGAAAAGGTATTAGGTATCGCTGCGCTGGGCTGGAGGTTGACGAAGTAGGTACCTAGGTACGAAAACGAAGTACATAGTTACAAGCCTCACTATCCTTGGACGTGATTACTAATGCGCCACTTACCCCAGAGTCTCGGGTTGGTGGCTCGTGCTCAATCTCAAACCGCCATAGGTAGACGTTGTCTCACAGACCCGTCTTTTTCGTCTTCACTCCGACCTCGTCGTACGAATCTCGTCGCTATCTATATGCTCGCTATTCTTCTTGTTGTTGAAAGACCCATCTAACTTTGCATGGGCCGGTCCCTGCATGTACAGATTACTCATTATAAGTAATTTATAATCACGTCATCACGTCTGTCATTTAGAGCTGTGGTCATTCATCAACAATTGGTGTTCTTGTCTTGACAGCTCGTCCTTCGACAAAGATCTCAGATACCCATCAAGACGTATTCAAATTCTCTGATTCGCCCACCATGGCAACTACATCCCCTCCAACAGACGTCAAACTCCGCAGCCCGTCGACTTACGCTTCTTCTTCTTCTTCTGCGAGCCAGCCCCCATCTCTCTCCCCATCACTCGACTGGCTCCGCCGAACATGGTCCGTCACGCACTCCACCCTCTCCATGTGGCGCTCCGCCCGCAACGTCCGCATCACCTACACCTCACTCCCGCCAAAACCGGACGGCACTACTCGACTCGACGACCTTGTCGAGTATGAATCCGTCAACTCCACTGGCAGGCGCAAGACCGTCCGGGGCGTTGACACGGCCTCCGTTGCCCCTCTTCCCCCATCCCCTTCTTCAGATTCTGCTCTTACCACCACCTCCTGGGACTGGCGTGGTAGCGGCCTTCTCTTCTTTGCCACCTCCCACTGGGAGATCCTCGGCTGGGGTGAGCGCCCATTGCCTCCGGGACCCGGAGGTGAAGCGGATGGTTCGCAGGTCGAGCGGTGGGCGGTCACATGGTTTGCGCCGACGCTGTTCACCAAGGAAGGTGTCGATATCTACTCGGACCGAAAGGAGGGCTTGAGCCAGGAGACGTACAAGCTCGTGCACGAGGCGCTGCTAGGACTCGAGGCCCGGTCTGTCGCTGAGATGGTAGAGAAGGATTTGCGTCCTGTGGAGATCAGACTACCCTGGGTTGAGAATTGAGTAGAGCTCTTTGGCTCTCGATTGTGGCGAGTTGGGCCTATGTATGTCATGCATTAGAGATCCAAAGCTTGGATGAGTCTCAGTACATATCACGGTGGACGGCTTCGTGTGGAGGAAAGCACCCGAGCGCTCGATATACCATCAATGAAAACAGCCGTTGGGAACCGCGATGTCTCTCGCTCTCTTCCCATATCCCCCGGCAAGCTACTCCCACAACGAAAATCCTCGCACTATGGCTGCGTAAATCAACAAGGTCTTTTTGAATTCAGGGGCTTTCCTCGGGTCCAACACAGTACCTTAACCCGTGATATGTTTTATCGTCCCTTTTAGTGCCTTTCAATGCCTTCTGACTGCATCTCTATATAACCCCTCTCCCATGAAGGTCTGGTACATACGACCATACCCACTGGAAAACTCGGGATCCCGTCTGCTCTCCCCTAGATAAGCCAGTGAGGGCCGGATTAGTAGTTGGGTCGGTGACGACCAGCGAATACCCGGTGTTGTATGTTTTTTTGTCGCTTTTGCTACGGATGTAATGTGACTTTTTGTGGGTACCTTCGACAGTGTCGTTCTGATTACATAATAATGGAACTTGGCATCGGATGGGACTTTTCTCAACATAATTACGTCAAACCATCACTTCAGCTTCACCCCAGAACAACCCCCTACCGCCAATTTCAGAAAACACACCATCATACTACGATGGACAGGGCACGTTCAAGATCGCGCTCCCCGCGCCGCGATCGATCGACAGAACGAGGCAATCGTCCCCGCGAGAGGAAACAAGGAGGCTTCCGATGGAAAGACAAGAATAGCCGCCGCGACCGAGACGACAACGGCCAAGACGACAACGGCCGCGACGACAGACGTGGCCTCCAGCGAGGATATCGGAACCGCAGCCGCAGCCGCAGCCGCGACGCAAGACAGCGAAATGGTTCGCGGTCCCCGCGCCGGGACCGCGTTCGGGACACAGAGCCGAGAGACAGAGATTGGGGTAGAGGCAGGGACAGAAATGAAGACCGAGGCCCCGACCGAGACCGAGACCGAGGTCGAGAGTCGGACAGGGGGGGGGACAGAGGAAAGGAAAAGGACAAGGGCAAGGGCAAGGACAAAGGACCGCCCAAGCCGGAAAAGAAGAAAACGACAGCCAAGCCCGCGAAGAGCGGCGAAGAGCTCATCGTGGTGTACGTCAACGACCGACTCGGCACCAAGACCGCCATCCCCTGCCTGCCGAGCGACCCCATTGGCCTCTTTAAGATCATGGTGGCGAGTCGTGTGGGCAGGAAACCTCATGAGCTGTTGTTGAAGCGACAGGGAGAGCGACCGTTCAAGGACCAGCTTACGCTCCAAGACTACGGAGTTAGCAACGGGGTGCAGCTGGATCTGGAGGTGGATACGGGTGACTAGGAGCCGTTTAGACCCATGTTGTGAGGTGCTGACTTTTACGGCAAGAACGAGATGATACCTGCGGCGTATGATGTCTGTCACATTTGACCACATGTCTTTGTATCGACTACCATTTGGGAGCTTCGCATTACGGGAGTTGGGATTCGGGTTGGCACTGGTTCTGGTTCACGATAAAGGGTTAGGTAATCGATCACCTAAGCCCCTACCACCTTACAGAGCAGTTATCACAGGATGAAGGATAAAAGGTATAATGTGACTACGGTGACAGCCTAAAGACACCTGTACCGAGATGTACCGACTTTGACTGGGATGTATTCCGAAGTGAACCGTCACGAGCGAGGCACGAAGTCAAGCAGGTACAGATATTGACTTCGTGCGTTTCAATCCCCAACGATAATATAAGGTAGGTACGGACAAGAAGTGTACTCCGTATCCACTCGTACAAGCACCAAGCCCTTGGTGAGTGGGTCACATGACTTCGCGCAGGGTTCGTCACTGGGCGGGGTTTTGGTGTCACGTCATCCACACGCGCCCTTTGCCTGACAACCTCTTTTGAATAACAACAAGAGTGATCGACAGAGCCTTATATGTCAAGTTTTTACACATATCTTCTACAAATGCCTCAATTGGACATTTCTTTTCTATAACAGCAAATCGGTGCACCACAGCTCCGCATCAGCACAGGTTTCACACAGCACACTCCTTCTGCCGCCAGCGCCGGGTAGTGGTAGCAACAGAAAATAACGGAAAAAAGAGGCTTCCCATAAAGCAACAGAAAATAACGGAAAAAAGAGGCTTCCCATAACAGATATGTCGGGGACCCCCACTATCACGACGGCGATCAGTACCGCTACGACAACGACGTTAAGGACGCGTAAAGCGAACGCCTCTCAAACAAAACGCAAGCCACTCACCGCCCTCGACGTGCCTGAAGACATGAGCCCGCAGCTTGTCCGCATCGCATCCTCATTACGGACAGCTTTTGAGAAGAGGGTATGGACGGCCCTCTGCCAAGTGCCGAGGGGCCAGGTGACTACGTACGCGGCGCTCGCGGCTCACCTTGGCTCGTCCCCGCGAGCGGTGGGCAACGCGTTGCGCCGCAACCCGTTCGCTCCGCAGGTCCCCTGCCATCGGGTGGTGGCGACGGGTGGGGCGCTGGGGGGCTTCAAAGGTAAATGGCCGCGGGACGGGGAAGGGATCACGCTGGACGAAAAGAGGGCTCTGTTACGGCGGGAGGGGGTGAGGTTTGACGATGCGGGGAGAGTGGTCGGGTCGCCTTTTGTTGCGTTTAGGTGATCGGTTCTGTCTTCATTACGCTCTGGATGGTGCATGAGGTTTAACAGGAGTATTTGTCTCTGCGTTTCTACTTGGTACCATGCTGGGTTGAAAATATCTGCAGGGTTATCACTCACCCCTTCAGGTATTATTGTTGTTATAGGCATTCCTTCCTTCGCTAATACCTCGTACATAGTATGTCAGAAAACTTGCCAAGAGTCCTACCCTGGCATGATGCCCCGGATGTGACATTCACGTCGTCTTAGCAAGATTGTGTGTATTTCTGTGCGGAGAATGAGGAGATGGACGGGGAACGGAACGTTCGGGGGCGTAAGCTCAATAACACTATTCACCTTGGCGTTATTTGCGGCTGGTACAGCTGAGCCAGGTCCCCCTGCCTAACGAACAGGGAATGAGGTCTTTAGCTTCGGAGATGGTCATGGCGGGGGATCATTCCGTTATTCTTCAACATCGTAAGGGTATTTAAGGGAATTCCCATTGTTTCCTTCGTTCCACTACAACTTCTCGATCATCATTCTGGGTCTTTTTTCAAGGCCCTCTCCCACGTATCAATTCCCCTGGACAGACGGACCCCTACACTGACCAGAGTCTCACGATTACAATGCCTCTCCCACGTCATGCCTTCACCGTCACCGGTGGCTGCAACTGCGGTGCCACCCGGTCAGTCTCTTCCCACCCAACTCCTAACCCGCCCCCAATGCTCACAGAAACCACCAAACAACTAACTTATCCCGCAGCTACCGCATCGCTATTCCACCATTTGAGGAACGGCCCCCGTCCTTCGCAGGAGGCTCTAGCCCGGACCTTGCAGATCCCAAGACCGTCCGTCTCCCCCATACCGCAGCTTGCCACTGCAACGACTGCCGCTCCGCCACCGGCCACATGGCAATGGAATTCCTGACTATCCCGGCCCCCTACATGACCGTCTCCGCCCTGCCACGCTCGGAATCCGAAGAATCCGACCCTTCCCGCGGCATCACAGGCCGCATACTCGACCGTCCCCTCACCGAAGCCGAAGCTCAGGCCCCGGACGCCGACCGCCCCACTTACATCCCCGCCCTCGACGTCTTGCGCCCCGGCCTCCCCGGGTCCCGTGACACTTGGCTCCGATTCTTCCATTCCTACATGTGCGACCGCGACATCGCCTCCCGGGCCTTCTGCGCCCGCTGCGGCTGCCCGCTCGGCTTCCACTTCCGGCCCCGTCCCGAGTGGTTTGGCGGCGAGGAGGTCTTTTGCCGGCCCGATGGGTGGGAGGACATCATCGACGTTGCGCTGGGGACTATTGACCGCCACTGGCTCGACCGCGAGGATTGGCTCGCTATCGATCACGAGCTCAATTGGAAAGAGGCCCTGCAGTGGTGTAAGAGAGATTCGGTCCGAGGGAGGGCGCAGGGCACCAGGCGACATCCCGAGGGGGCGGTTGCGGTGACGGTTTCTGATGCGGATTTGTTGGCTCCTGCCAAGGTGGAAACGGATTGAACGATGTGTCAAGCCGTGTTAGACTGGATGCGCTATGTGGGAGGGCGAGGTGACGAAGGTGTGATAGCTGGATGTCTGGGTTCAATACCACTCCGTTAGTTGTCCCCATAATGCTAAGAAGCACTTCCATTGTTCGCCTGAATATCTGGCCTTAAAGACCACACTATCAACCAAGTACGAAAAGAAACATGACCAAATGAAGCACCGTCGTCACCTAGGGTTATTATTTATCTCATTCCTGACTTTTTGTTTCCTGTATCCCTGCCTTAACTGCCGGTGTCAATGTCACGTTATGGTATTGTACAAGAGTGCCAGAAAGCCATAAGAAGCCAGGCCAGACGCCGGAGCCATGCTGTCCCCCATCCCCATACACCGTAAGACCAAAACCTAGACTTGCCAGCTACCGAGGGAAAAGAGAAAAATTAAGAAGAAGAAAAAAGGGAAGACAGATTGCCCATACCACAGACGCAAACGACAAGGAGAATTAGCAAGCATAGACAACTGGCCACACTGAACAGCGTCGTCTTGTGATGCCGTGTTGTTTTGTCGTCGTGGCATATGACCTTAGGACTCCTCGGTCCGACGAGGGCCGCGAGCGGCTCCGCCACGCTGTCCGCCGCGACCACGTCCACGGCCATCGCCGCGGTAACCGCCGCCACGACCACCGCGATAATCGCCACGGCCGCGTCCACGCCACTGGCCGCCACCCTCGCGATCATTGCGGCTGCGATTGCGTCCCTGAACCTGGTGGAAACCGTCGTTGGCATCGGTCTGCTGAGCAGCGGGCTGCAACGGTATAACGGTCAGCGTCTTTTGGTCCGAAGAAACCCCGGTGAGAGTTGAGGGGGAAAAGCATACCTCGGACGACGGTTCAGGGTGGTCATCGGCCCAAGATTGGCCGTTGGGAGCAGGAGCATCATCGGTAGCCTGGCCGGCCTTGATCTCGGTGGACTCGCGAGAGACGTTAACCCATTCCTGGGAGATAGTGGAGCCGCTCAGATCGTTACCCGAGGTGCCAGTATCCCACTTCTCGCCCGAGGCGTTGGCGGTCTCGTTGGTAACGGTGCCGTTGGCTGGGGTAGGGGCGGATTGCTCCTCAGCATGGCCATTGGTCAAGGCAGTGTCCTCGCCAGCCTTGATCTCGGTGAGGCTAGCATTGGCAACGGTCGGATCAGTCACGGCGGTAGTCGCCTCACCAGCCGTGGGCGCTTGTTCCTGGCTCTCAGCCTCAACGTCTTCGGAGTGAGCCTTGGTGAAGGCCTCAGAAAGGGCCTTAACTTGAGCAACTGGAGGCAGGCGAGGTGATGTTAGTCCAGAAATATTGCGGAGGCGTGCGGAGGACGAGGGAGGAACAGAAAAAAGCTACTGACAGGTAGTCTGGAGAAGATCACCATTGACGCTCTGGGTGCGATCCTCGGTTCCCTTGGTGAGCTTGATGATACAGTCGACAGCAATCTCATCGCCGCCGTAGACGCCGAGAAGTATACCCTCCAGGGCCAGGTTCTCGTCGAGCATGGGGTCAACGTCCTCCGAGCGGCGGGCGGCAGCGAGGCGGAGAAACTGCGATAGGTGGAGCAAAGTATCATGCAGGTCCTTGACGTGGTCGGCCTCGAGCTTCTGCTTGATCTCGTTGACGGCATCAACCTTCTCCTGCTCGAGCTTCTGGGTGAGGGTCTTCTCGAGCTCAGCCTTTTCGGTCTGGAGGCGGGTACGGTACTCTTGATCGATCTTCTTGTACTGAACGAGCTGCTCCTCCAGCTGGACGACCTGAGCCTGCAGGGCAGGCTTCTTGGAGATTTGAGCTTTCTGATCGGCATTGATGAGCTTCGCAGCGACGAGTTCCTCGAGGGATTTGCCAGGATTCTCCGCGACTACAGTCTCGGTCTTAGCCATGTTGGACTGTTTGGGTAAGACGAGGTTAGCACGAGATGGAATATCGTTTGTTTCGGATTGGGGGCCGAAAGGGGGGGGTTGTTGTTGGTTGTCGTCAGGGTTGGGTCAGTTGGGAGGAGGAGGAGGAGGAGGGCAGAGGGAGAAGACACGCACAATCTTCTTGTTGATGTTGCGGATGTTCCTAGGCAGTCAATTAGCTTTGGGCTCCAACCGGAAAAGAAACCGTCTGGGAGGTTGTTCTCACTTCTGGATGTCACGAATGTAAGGGGTCTCGCCAGCATCGTCACCGGCCTCGGAAGCGGCAGTCGGCGCGGGGGATTCGATGCGCTCAGCAGCAGTGCCCTTGGCCTTCTTCTTCTTGGACGGGTTGGCCTCGCCCTGAGTGACGGGATTCTGAACAGAAGAGGCTGCCATGGCGAACAATAGAGATGTATTCACTAGAGTGGTGGGCGCGCGCAGCTGTTGCACAAATTTAATGTGTAGTGAAGTTGTTCCACACGCGCACAGGGAATAATAACGTGCAAGGATGCAGGACGTCAAGGAAGATATAAAAAGAGGGCGAGGGGAAGAGAAGAGATGGTTAGGCTAGGAGAAGCTTGTGTTGTCTGATGGCAAGGTGCTATTAGAAGGGAGGAGATTTTTTTCTTTTTTTTTTCGTTTCTACGAAGAGCAGAGGTTTGTTTGAATATTGAGCTTGACTGAGTGTGGGGGGGTTGAGTGTGAAGATTTTGGGCAAGATCAATCGTTGAGGTTGGTGGCATTCGTGGCTGCCGTGACTGGGGTCTTCCGTGCGCCTTCTCTTCTCTTCCAGCACTAATGTACCTAGGTACTCCCTATTTAAGGTACTGTCACCTTTTATACGTAGGTACCTTGGGCTAACACTGCACCAGAGAGCACAGACAGTACCTATCCGTAACTGTTAGTTACCTTCTGCTTTGTGGGGACGAGCTTCTTACCTCTGTACCTTGGAGCATTACTTCGTAATTACTCTAGAGATGGCCAATACCTAAGGTACCTTATGTTACGAACAGCTGCCTACCTTAAGGTACCTACCTTACCCATGACAAGAAACAACCAAATACTGTTTCATGACACTACCTACCTTAGGTAGTTTAGAGCTGAAAAGGGTTAAATTTATCTCCATCTTATGTCTGCATCTTGTGTTCTGTACCTAGGGATTTGCTGTAGGTAACCTCTAACGGGTTACCCAATACTACCTTAATCAAACCCGACAGCGTAGGTACGGAGGGATTACCAAAGTCAGGCCATTGGATTCTGCTGCCACGATATGTCCTGGTTCGTTGTCTACCTTATTTTAGGTACGGAGTTCCCCCGGATTTAACTTGTCCAGTATTACGTCACAATGTACCTCACGGGATTGGTGGACGAAAAGCATGAGGTATGCTCACATCTTAAGAGTGCGGTTATCCATAAGGTAGATTAGGAGAACCATCGACGGAGGTGAACTCTTAGGATCCTCACATTGGTCTTCCTGAACCTGGACTTGGTTCTCGATGTGAGCTTCTCCTTGAGGTCCTCCCTATGTTCTTCTCCGAGTGGATGCATCTGTTTCTGAAGCCTTTCCTGGCCAACTGGCGAGGTGTGGTCATCCAGTCTTCCAGTTACTCAAGCCCAACCCCCGTAAGCATTCTGTTGTAAAGCCAAGGAAGCTTTATCTGCTTTTTGATCCTGGCTTATTGCATTGTCTGCCAAGTATATTGTTACTTTAAGGGGCATTGGGTCGAGTGTTTGCAGCGAGTACTCCATTTGGTGTTGGACCCCAACGCTTTGTTGTGATGGCACCTCCAGCACTGGTCGGCCCGAGATGTCGGTCTCGATACGGCGGCTTCTGTTGTTTCAGTCGGACAGGGTCCGGGGAAATAGGCAGAGGACAAGGGGTTCGCCTAGGGGAGTCCTCTATGGACGTGACGGCTTTTCGTATCTTGGGAAGAAAGCTGCAGTGTGCAGAGCGCGCCGAGGTAGGTTGTTGATCGAGTGCAAGGGTGCCGTCTTATGTCTTGAACCTGGCAAGAGCATCCTATCAATTTGAATGTCAGTTATTAACTCTCCTCAGTGCGCGGTGCAACAGGGATGGTATGGTAACGTACAACTGTGGCTTTCTTGACACTGATGGCGGTGATGGTCCTCTCGCCAGATGATTTGGAGTCAATGGCGGCTTCCTTGACCACACTATAGGCATTCACGCATCAGTTCATATTTCCATCCTAAAATGCTCCTATAATGTCGAGATTTTGTCTTGGCAAGGCGTACCTCTGCATGAACCGAAGGTAGTCGAGATAGATCTGGTTATTTGGGAGAAGGTTAGTCAAACGCGTCTCGGCGCGACGCGTGGTGGCCGGGCGAGATCATATACCATTACATCGACATTCTTGGTCATATTGCAGTTTGAGTGCGCTTTGATAATCGTCTTCGCCGTCGCCCGGGGATATGTTTTTCGTACAGGAGCCATAATGGACTCGTCGGTTAAAGGGTGGTGTTGTTGGGTCGTGTCTAGTGCTGGCCTTGGATCGCCAGAAAGGAGAGCACGGGGAGAAGTGGGGCCTGTGCAGCTGTCGCACAGTACGAATTTATTTCTACGTAGTTTTTCGCACCTAGCCCCTCCTTGCGCGGAGAGCTGCAATTTCTCTAGCTGCATGTAAGGTGGGCAAACCGCCATCAACAGTGTTTCCAGCACAAACATCGGGAAAGAAAATGGCGACAAGGCGGATGGTATGAATCTCCCTTTAAAAGAAAAATCGAACTATAGTTAAAGCCTCCCCCGCTAACACTTATATGCGTTCATTCAGCTCACGAAAGAAGACGAGGCCAGTATCGGTGAAGAAGTCGAGGTGCGCAGAGAAGACCAGGACAAGATCAACAAGTTCAGCCGCCTACACCAGCGCGAGTTGGCCATAGAAGAGGAACTAAAGGCCAAGAATGTGGGAACTCCTTGTCCTCTTGTCTTACTCGATGTTTCTATGAATACCGGCTTCGAAAGATCCAGACACTAACCCCCACCTACCAGAAAGAGAAGGAAGACCTCGACGACCTCAACACCGAACTCGAATTGGCCGACGAAGACGACAAAGTCCCGTATGGTTGCCATTCTTTCACTCACTGCGTCGGCAAGGAGGGGGGGGGAGGGCAACTGTGACACTAACAGAATACGGCAGATACAAAATTGGCGATGCGTTCTTCCACGTGTCCCAGCCCCAAGCGCTCGAAATGCTAGGGGTCGCCGCAGCCAAGTTAGAAGAGGAGATCGAGGAACTCGAGTCGAAGCTCGAAGAATGTCAGGACGAGATGGCAGAGCTGAAGATCGCTCTGTATGCGAGATTCGGGAAGAGCATCAACCTCGAGACATGAGGAATTCCAACAACCCGCAACCGAAAGTCGGTCATCCGCGCACACGAAAGTGCCGCCCGTGCCGTGCCTTTGAGGATCCCTAAAATCCCGATACCACGACACCACGACACCATGACATCGACAACACAACACAACACTGACACCAAGACCAAGACCAACCGACGAGAATGGAGAGGAGGGAAACAAGAATGATTGAGGAGAGACGAGGGCAAAGGAAAAAGAGGTCATCGCTCATCACCTTCGGGTCACTGTCGCTCATGGAACGAATCCACAAGGGGGAAAAACCACGCGGAAAGAAAGACGGAAAAAAGCCCCCACGAAAGAAACCACACGAGAAAGCAAACAAAAGCCCATTCATTCCACAAGAATAGTACGCCGGCCAAACATGATTTCTCGCTCGTGGTAGCAGTGTCACTCACTCTCCCTAAGCGTGTCGTGTTTGACTTCTCGATTGCCTACCTAGGTACTGAGTACTCGTCTCGAATCCGTTTGCCGTGCATCATCGCCATTTGCACGCTTTTACAAGATACAAGTGCAGTCCCATGGAAGCTGTGGATGGATGGCCATGATAAAGTTCCAAGGTATTTTTTTGCCATACCTTAGTACCTTACCTCAGGTGGGTAACCTACTGGTCTGGTACATACATGTACTAGGCATCTGAAACGGCATCGGCATGTCCCCGATCCCGGAGCCGGGTAAGGACATCCACGACGACGTGATACCTACCACTCTCAGCCGGCAGACGACCCACTACGGCCAAGCCTCATCCCGCTTCGCTTCGGTTCTCAAATGCATTCCCAAACCCCAGCCAATGACGGCACCGCAGGTTGTGTGTCTACAATGTTTATCGCGGGGATAAGGTCCTTCCCAAAACGTTACCTCCGGTCCGGCTGGACAAACTGCTAAATTGCTAATCATCAAAAGGGCGTGTGTCTGGGGCGATGGAATAGCGGCATTCGGCCCCCACCTTTGGTTAGTATCCCGACAACCATTACAACATAACGAGGTAAAGTGGTGTAAACGGAGGTCCTGGAACCAGGAAAAAGTGCCATCATCCGGGCTGATCACCCATATCAACCCAGATTACGGAGATTTTGCCATTGTTGCCGTCCGTCTTAGGTGCATCCATTCTCCCCTCCTATCATCAAGTTGCGCCGTAGTTTTTCTTCTAATTTTCTTTTTTCACCCTCTCTCTCTCTCTCTCTCTCTCTTTCTTTCCGCCCTTTTATATTGTCCTTTCACCGTTCAGACGAGACTCCCCTATCATTTCATGAACCTACTTCACTGGACTTCCGTCACTGTTTCCCCGTCTCGTCGGTTGAGAACCATTTGGAGGGAATACTAGGACTGTTCACAACCATAGGCTAGGTATGCAATCGATCCGTAATTGATCATGGCTCGTAGTATTGGTCCCAGTGATGATTTGGAGGCGTCAAGGCCGTCCTTACAATGTAAGTCTCTCTCCTACCGGACCCTTTGGAGAAGATATGACCGTTCAAAAACGATTGACCATGCATTTCGTTTTCTTGGCTCAGTGAGAGTGCAGAGATCGTCAGCTCAGCAAAGTGCCAGACGCGCTGGCCAGGGTGATGGTGGGCAGATAGAATACACAGCTCAAGATGGGCGTGCTGGCGACGATCTTGACGAGAAGCCAGGCTCCACGCCCTTCAACAACCTCAGCGACTACGACGACAAAACCATAGTATCTTGGGAGGATGGCGATCCACAGAATCCGTACAACTGGTCCAGTGTAAGTCCCATACGAGCGAGCCTGCTTGGAACATTTTTCCTTTTTTTGCTTCGTCGGAAAGGCTAACCAGGTCATGGACAGACCAAGAAGATGGCCCTCCTCACGATGAACATGATGCTCATTATCAACAGCACCATGAGCTCTTCCCTCCCCTCCAACGCGATCCCTTACATCTCCGAGCAGTACGGCATCACCTCCCCCCAGCAGCAGATCTTGCCCATCTCCATCTTCATGATAGGCTACGTCTTCGGGCCCATGTTCTGGGGACCCCTCAGCGAGCACTTTGGTCGCCGCATCATCACGGTTGGCACCTTCATCATCTTCACCCTTTGGACCATGGCCTGTGCCCTGGCACCCAACTACGCCGCCTTCGTCGTCTTCCGCCTCTTCGTGGGCGTCTTCGCCAGCGCCCCGAACGCCGTCGTCCCTGGTGTCCTGGCCGACATGTACGGTGACCATAATACGCGAGGGCGGGCGATGGCCTTCTTCATGGCGGTTCGTTTTTCTTTTTCTTTTTCTTTTTCTTTTTTTTTTCTTTTTTTCTTTCTCGCTACCTGTCATGCCGCTGACATGTCCTCTCAAAGACGACAGTATTCGGCCCGCTCTTCGCCCCCATCGTCTCAGGGTACTGCTCCACCACCATAGGCTGGCGCTGGACCTTCTGGATCGCCCTCATCTACGCGGGCGCCACCCTCGTCCCGCTCCTCCTCCTAGTCCCCGAGACCTTCGGCCCCGTCCTCCTCGCCCGCCGCGCCAAGGCCCTCCGCGAAGCCGATCCGGACCGCAACCGCGACCTCGTCGCCCCGCGGGACCTCGAACCCCCGGTCGACTTCCACCGCCTCGCCACCGTCGTCCTCGCCCGCCCCCTGCGCATGATGACCTCCGAACTCATCGTCGCCAGCGTCTGCGCCTACCTCGCCCTCGTCTACGCCATCTTCTACATGTCCTTCCAGGCCTTCCCCATCATCTTCCAGTCCCTCTACGGCCTCAGCCCCGGCGAGACCGGCCTCGCCTTCCTCCCCATCGGCGGCGGCTCCCTCCTCACCCTACCCATCTTCTTCGCCTGGGACCCGTTGCTGCACCGCGCCAAGACCCACCCGCGCTTCGCCGCCCTCGCCCGCCAGGAGGAGTTCCGCCGCCTCCCGCTCGCCTGCCTCGGCGGCCCGCTCTTCGTCGTCAGCCTCTTCTGGCTCGGCTTCTCCGCCCGCGCGGACGTCCACTTCGTCGTGCCCATGCTCGCCGGCCTGCCCTTCGGCGCCGGCTTCATGCTCATCTTCATGGCCCTCCTCAACTACCTCACCGACGCCTACGAGGTCTTCGCCGCCTCCGCCAACGCCGCCGCCTCCATGGCCCGCAGTCTCCTCGCCGTCGTCCTCCCGCTCGCCACCGTGCCCATGTTTGAGCGCCTCGGCATCGCGGGGGCCTGCAGCCTCCTGGGCGGCCTGAGCGCCCTCATGTGCGTTATTCCTTTCTTATTCATCTGGAAGGGCGACACCATCCGCGCCAATTCGCGGTTCTGCACCGCGCTGCGTGAGCAGAAGGAGGCCATGGATAGGCGCGTTGAGGGCCAGAGGAGGCGGGAGGAGGCGGCTGCCTCGGCTGCTATGGCTGCTACAGATGAGTCTGGTGCGAGAGAACCGGAAAAGTAGCTCTTCTAGCCCTAATCGGGG